TGCTCCGACGAGTGCACACGGTGCTTGGCGCTGAACTGTTTGCCATACTCAAGGCCATGCAGCTGGCCATTGAAGATACACTTCTGAAGGAAGAGCCTGTTTTAATTTTGACGGATTCAAGGTCTGCCATGCATATTCTAACCACTACATCTGGACGCTCCCATCGCACACTTGTGTTCAAGATCCACAAGTTGATGCTGATCAAAAGACTTGACAAGGTGGTGCTCTGTTGGATACGGGGTCACAGTGGTATCCATGGGAATGAGGTTGCAGACAAAGTAGCCAATATGGCACATTCAAATAATTGTACAGCAAGGTCTCAAGTGTGCTTTGAGGAGTGGATCTGTACCATAAAAACCCTCATCAACCAGGAATGGATGCACCGATGGTCAGCAGAGGTGCAGGAAACAGGCAAGGGGATCTTTCGATGGAGCTTAGGGCAAGCTATTACCTATGTGGACTATGGAATGCTGCCACGCTCAGTTGAATGTGCTGTGTCACGCCTTCGCATGGGGCATGCTGGTGTAAATGCTCACTTGGCCAGATTCAACATGGCAGATTCAAGTAACTGCTCAGCATGTGCCGTTGAGGGCACAGTCAGCCATTTTATACTACATTGCACACAATTCACCAAACAACGAAGGGATTTCCGCACAAAACTGGAAGGACTGTCTCTTCCCTGGGATCTTACCATGGCTCTTGGTGGTGGGGACATCCCAGCAAGAAGCCGCACTACTGTCATTCAACATCTTGGTCGTTACTTGCTGAACTGCAATATGGTGGCCGGGTAGTGAATGTTCATCTGAAACCAATTTTACTCTTCTTTCAACAATGTACTGCCACATTGCTCTGGTGAAACATGTGGAAGTGATGCATTCAAACGCAGAGAGGCAAGAATAGAAAATAAGTCTGGAGTGAAGTGACTCAAATCAAAATTCAATTGGTGCTCAGGCTGGGAGGTGTGTTTTCTACATACCCAAAGCCTAATAATTCAATTTAAAAAAATATAGCCCTGCGGCCCTTGATTGCGTGAATTTAAATGGCCAATAATCATTTATAAATTACATATAACTTGATCGTGAACATATGTGGAAGGTTCCATCCAGAGTCAGGGGTAATATGGGACACCACTAAAAACGCATTTAGTGATTACCAGTAGAAGTTTAGAACCTCCGTCCAAACCTCGGTTAACGTTACTGCGTTAGAGCAAAGGCTCCAGTTAATTTGTAGATAATTTATTCTAAAATAGATTTCTAGATTTTTACTTAAAGAAATCTTCATATAAAGGAAAATCATATATTATTGAAGGATAATTAAACGCATATTGAATATTTTGAGTTTTTTGTCTGTTTGACTGTTCTTTGGCAAACTATTTGCACCGACAATTGCGCGGAGTAAATAGATGACCAAAATTTGCGCTGACGTCTGCGCAAAAATAAAATTTAAAACTCATTATGCGTGGGAAAATTCCCCGAAAACCTGCATAATCCTGTGTGTGGAAAATGAGCAGGCCAGCAGCAGCAGTAGCTTGCTTGTCATTGTCCCACTAGCAGAGGCAGCGCGCTCCTCCTGCCAGGACGAGCGCGCTGCCACTGCTAGAGGGACTCCCCCTAGCAGCGGCAGTGCACTTGTCCCACTAGTAGCCACAGCTTGCTCCTGGTCTTGCGAGTGGGATAGGAGCGCAACAGGATCCAAATGACCAACTGTAAGTGCAGGCTCTCATTATGGTGTTTATTGCTTGCTCATAGTCCAGGTTTAGTTTATAATGTGTTGATGTTCTTTTTAAGCTTTAGCGTTCAATAGAGATACCGTCAACCGGGGCTACTCGGGACAATTTCAAACGTTTTTCATTCATAACTTCTTACCATTAAACATTTCGTAAACAAGTTTAGGCTCATTTCAAAGCTCTTTGCAAGGGCTATCACATGGCTTCTCCAAAAAAATTCCATATGCTATTCGTAAGGTGCCAGAAGCAAAAAAAGTGTCCTGAGTACGTAGCCCCGTCAAACGGGGCTACTAGGGACACTTGGAATAAAACTTCATTTTAAAACATTTGAAGCATGCCATGGTCAGGAAGATGTGCCAGGTGCGCGGGAATTTATTTTATCATTTTATCGACCTGCGCGGTGCGCCGTACTATGCCGGTAAAAAAATGCGCCGTGCGCCGTACTTTTAGAATGCTAAAATAGTTTAAGTATGGATGCGCGGCAACGCAAATTACATAATCACACTGACCGTACACTGTACACACAAACATGTATCCGCATTGTGTTGTGGTTGGATATGAGTTAACTAGATTGCTAACGCGTCAACTCAGGTTCTAAGAGTCAGCACAGTTATGAATATTCATTCATAGATCACAATTCAACCGGACATGAATTACAAAACTAAAGAAGGCAACATTGCTTTAGATGTGCCATCGATGCCTTCTAATGAATGACTGGAGTCTGGACTGGTTGCGGCAAGTAAGGTATGAACCTGTACGTCAACAGTACGAACCTGCATGCCAATGCTGGGACTACATTCCCGACATCCTCCCGGCCAGTAAAATTGACACGATCAATACCTAATAACAATGCATGTAAATGGACTATACAAATTAGGTCAATACGGCATAATTACAGAGCGTAATTAAACTATGTGATACAAAATATGAATATATATATATTTGCAAGATAAGTCAATGGTCTGTCGTTTATTTTTGCTTCATTTGAGCAATTATGGTGTCCAAATCTGGGTGCGTTATGTGTACTTTGAATGTGCAAAAATTATAACTATCATATGAAAATTGTTACGTAGGTTATCATAGTACAAATGGCCATTGAGTATCAAGATTGCAGTTCTCCTACCACCCTTCATTGAATTATCCCGCCTTTTTTCTAAAATTCAATAATCTCACTTCCAGCAAAGTTTGCAAAAATTCATTTGCTGCATAAAATACTCTCTGCTGTGGTGTTCGACGTCTGGTACGTTTCGGACAAATTTATGGCCGCTCTCACGGACGGTGTCCAAATCCAGTGTACCTGGAATATCTCCCAAAGTACTGAACGTAGCTTGATGAAACTTGGTACACATTCATTATGGCCTTACGGTGATGTCAAGCTTGTGACAATTTTTTTAATATCGCCTTCATTTGTGAGTTATATGATGAAACATTCCGAAATTTGCAGTGTACTGGCCATTTCTTCCAGAGTACTGAACAGATCTGAATTAAATTTTGAATATGAATTTCTGAATACTGAATGGTGATGTTTAGCTCGTGAAAATTTTTTATGTTTTGCCTTCGTTGGCGAGTATTTTTCTCTCTTCCCTCATTCGTGATTTAAACAGCAAAATAGTACTCAAATTCGCAGGGTACCAGAGATTTCTTCTAAAATACTGAACAGATTTGAACGAAACTTTGCATATAGAAACCTAACCTCCCAATGGTGATGTTTAGCTTGTTACAATTTTTTCAATTTTGCCTTCGTTTGCGAGTTATACGGATATATATATATATAATATATATAAATGAACTGTATAAATGAAGAACTTCTGCCTAACTACACTAATATATATATATATATACTGTGTTAGTAGAATAGTAGTAGTCAATTGGGCATTTGGGCTGAAGCCACCAGTAAATTGCACTGTGCACAAATACAATTTTGATTGGGTAGAAAATTTTACCCATTCAGGCCATTTTGATAGCAATTTTCCAATTTCTTCAGTAAAAAAATGACCTACTTGAGCCTACTTCCATCCCAAGATTTTCAATGATCTCTAGTGAAATGATTGCTTTAAACCACAATTTTTCTTAGGAAACTTCTGCCCAATATTTCAAATTGGTTACTAACTAGGATCAGGATTAGAATTTTCCTACTTGTTTCTAAAATCTTGCGGCTCTAAGCCTCTAACATGATGAATTTTTAATGCAATTGGGATATTGCGGCCTGATCATAAGATCATGCACTTTTCTTAACAATTAGATAAGAGGTATCAAGGTAATTCATGTGGCAGAAATCTTGCTTGCAGTTCTGTAAATGGTGGGAAACCTTTAGTTGTGGCTCTAAAGGTAGATGTTTTCCATGCTTCATGATGCTTGACTACTGTGAATAAATAAATCAAACATTAAAAGCAAAATGTAGACGCAATCTCAATCTGGAATATTGCACAGAATTGAAAAAATTATTAATATCAAGTACCGTATCAACAATCCTTTCTGAGAGATTTTTGATAATTTTTTACAAAAATATGATTTTTTTCTATTTATGAAGAGAAATCAGTCTATGGTTATTGGTCATATTTAACTTAGAATAATTGACAAAATTTCTTTAAAATCACAGATAAAAACAATTATTTTACTGAGGATGTTCAAGAATTGCTGGAAAAAATAGGCAACTTCTAAAGTTTTCTTATTGTTCACTGAAGAAATTGGATAGGGACAATAAAAAAATTAGCTTGATTCTATGAGTTTTTTCTGATTTAAGTGTGGTTTCTGCCCAATTTTCCAGTTAGGGGTCATGTTGTAATTTTGTCCAAATCAATCGCCAGGTTTGATGCTATGCTATTAATATAGAAGTTGACTTCTTTTTTAGCCTGGTCATCAGCTTTGGCTGTAACTCCCTTGGGTCCTTGCAGATGCAGTAGCATCTCCTGCAAGTTCTAAAATCTCTTAGCATCACCTCTATTTTGGACATTGTTCCTCTCATCTTGTTCAGATTATCTTACTTGACTTCTGCTCTGATCCTGCTTCCATAATTTAATTATTGATTGTAATTTGCCTTTGTTTTTACATCTTCATTCAATTGTGTCGTTAAAGAGTTAAAAACATGTATTAAATAAATGAAAATTTGCTTGTTATTCAATTACATTTTACTTAAATTATTCTAAAAATAGTCACCAGAGTCCAGACAGACAGAGATATTTCAATATTACTCCATCTACTTATATATATGTCACCTGAGAATTGGCCTGTTAGCCATTTTATGACTATTATGTGTATTTTCCTATAATTTCAGATTTTTTTAATATTCAAATTGTTTGTGAGAACATATACACAATGAGACAGCTCAGTAAGAGCTGCTTGCTCCTTCTCTTAGCCTTGGTAAGTATATGTATTGTATATACTATAAAAAATATACCATACGGTAACAGGATTATGAATGATTTGATGAAGACTGCTGACCATTGATCAAAAATAACACATGCCAACACTGGAACATGTTCCAACTCCTCCAGTGGAAAGAGGGGCATTTGTATAAGAACCTTCAAACAATATTCTAAATGTATTAAAAATTTCTATTTTGACTCAATTATTTCAAATATTTTTTACTCAAATTCTGATGCAATTATTATCTGACAAAAATTATTGTAATATTTTTCTTTATGGAGGCTAATTTTGAGCTGTAGTAATTTTAGTTATTGTTTGGAAAATAACTTCTTGTTCTGTCACCAAGAACCACTGTAATTGGAAATTAATCTTTATTAATTAAGATCATTTGAGAAGTCCAGCTCCATTATTGGTTCAAAATTCCTTAAGATGAGTGCAATCAATTATTAAAGTAAAATTCACATGAAAATTCAAAATTTATGACCATTAAATTGATATGACAATTGAGAATTCATATGAGAATTAATTGACAAGAGAAAACATATCAAGTAGTTTTAGGTTTTTTTTATAGAAACTTGATCTCCCCCACATCTTCTACAGGAATTTCTATTCTGAATGTATATTGTCTCTTGACTATCACAACACAGAAATTTTACTAAATGTTTACATATTTGCCCTTGCATCCTTAGTATCCTTGGTAGGTATTTGTTTTGGACATAGCAGTCCCAGGCCACGATGGATCGCCGCCTCTGACTATCGCGCCTCTGCCCTCATTTGGGCCAGCTGACGCACAAGTGCATATTATAATTATAGATAGCTATATATGAATGGTATTGTTTAGTCATCTAACTACAATTTAGAAAATATTGCAAACTAACACCACCTTTTCTTTTCAGGTTTGCTGTGTGCTAGTAGCAGTATTGGCTGGGAAGCCTCCAAACAACATTGAATCTATCAGTGACCCTAAGGTGGGTATATATATTTTTTAATGAGATATGCACTCTTAAGGATGGATTTGTTAATTAAATTAGAACCTGTTAAAAAACTTCCTGATTCCTAGGTTTAAGATAATTAACAGTTAAGTTTAGATAAATATTTTTTTATTCAAAACAGATATTGTCTTTCATGCTAATTCTATTAAGATTACATAAGCTTTAAACTCCTGAATTTCTTCCTTAACCCTGACTTTGCTTGTTATTATAGAAATATACATTATAGCTTTTGAGTAAATGGCATTTCTTTAACTCTAAGTGTTCACTAAACACAATTACTGTTTGAGAATTAGTCCAAAGTTGCTGGAATGGCCCCTAAGGAGATGTCATCTGTGATATTTGTTTATAGTGTTGCTACCAAAATATTATTTTTCTTTAAACATTTCCATTTGAGATAAGTGTTGGTTAGCTATCTCTGCAGTGCTTTTTATGAATTAGTTGCTTTATTTAGCATGATTCGAGGAAAAATTTTGTTGAGACTCAAGTTAAAACTTTTTTGTCCTTATATTTCTGTAATAGTAGGAAAATGTCAGGGGATAACATATTCTACATATGCAGGAGTGGAAGAAATTGCTGAGGACACGCACCAATGTCCTGGTGCTCTACAGCCACGGTGCACTCACTGGGGAGCTGTCAACTGTGCTGAGTCACGTGTCCACAGACCTTCGGGGCACTGCAACAATCGTGCTTGTCGACTGTAATGGGTATGTGTGACTTGCAACAAACTGCAACAATCATGCTTGTCGACTGTAATGGGTTTGTGTGAATTGCAATAAACTGCAACAATCATGCTTGTCGACTGTAATGGGTTTGTGTGAATTGCAATAAACTGCAACAATTGTGCTTGTCGACTGTAATGGGTTTGTTTGAATTGCGGGGAACTGCAACAATCATGCCTGTCGACTGCAATGGGTTTGTGTGAATTGCAATAAACTGCAACAATTGTGCTTGTCGACTGTAATGGGTTTGTGTGAATTGCTGGGAACTGCAACAATCATGCCTGTCGACTGCAATGGGTTTGTGNGTGAGTCTAATGATATTTCTGTGAGTCTAATGATATTTCTGTGAGTCTAATAATATTTCTGTGAGTCTAAGGGGCTTTTGGGGGCTTTTTTACTTTTTATCATGTAATGCTGATAGTTTACTCACTTTCCTGATCACACTTTGTATGTTCGGTACCTACAGTTGATACAAATATATGAAAAATAAATAGATATTTTTCCCCCAATATGGAACTTTGAGCAGCTTTTTTCAATCAACATGTGAATAATCTGATTAATCACTATGTTGGAAAAAGTATTTGATTTCTCTTTCCACTTCGATTCACATGAAACAAAAATTGAACTCTTCTGTCAGTGACCCTGATATGTTTAGGCTACAAGAAGTAGTTTTCAATAGTTATAAATCAAATGTAGGTATAGTTAGTAATATGTTTGTTATGGTTATATGTTAGGTATACGTATGTATGGTAAATATATTTCTTATATTGAAATAAATCAATTGAGGCTATAAAGATGATCATGCAGTTGGGACTTCTTGAATTTGGAAGTTTATAATTTTTTTGGACATTCTTAAGAAGTTGATAATAAAATGATCAATTAAATATAGATAAATGTTTCTCTTGGGATACGTACTTCTTTAATTAATGTTTGAACTTTTCAGATTAAGATCAAGCAGGCAAGTTGTAGATGTGCCATGTATCAAAAGCTAAGGCTGAAAAGCCCATGCCATTGTTTCTTGCATTAATCTAATTTCCTTTTTCTCTGAACTTACGTAAGTTCTTGTTGTATAAACATTCTATGTCCTAGGACTTAGATTATTTGTAAACAACACCCATCAAAACATGTAAAAAATGGGTTTAGGTTCGTCGTTGAGAGATTGAAGACAATGATCTCAACCATTGTGTGTTTAATGCCTATGCATCACCACCCTTGATTAACAGAATAGCCAAACATAAGTTTCCAGGATGCTTCTTCGATAATTTTATCAATTAACCTGCGGCCCGAGGGTCTTTAGCTCACTAACATTTATTGTTATTAATACAAATTTATTCCTTGAACCAAGATAATTAAAAATGGGATGACTAGAAAATCTTAATGTTTGTAGCAAAAAAGTGGCAAGTTAAAATTCAATCTTTTATCATACCACTCTTATTTAGTATGACGTTGAGAAAAAAAAATTTCTTTCTGAAATATTAAGCACAATATTTATGGCATTTTGCCTTATATTCCAGTCTATGAAGAAGTTACTGAAGGCTAAGAAGTCATTCCTGATTTTCTGAACTATTAAGCACTATATTTCTGTAATTTTGCCTTATATTCCAGTCTATGAAGAAGTTACTGAAGGCAAAGAAGTCATTCCTGATTTTCTGAACTATTAAGCACTATATTTCTGTAATTTTGCTTTATATTCCAGTCTATGAAGAAGTTACTGAAGGCAAAGAAGTCATTTCTTATGATGTTCTACGCGCCGTGGTGCGGGTTCTGCAAGCGTCTCAAGCCTGACTACTCCTCAGCGGCGAGTGAAGTGAAGTCTGAAGGCCTCATCCTCGCTGCCATGGACGTTAATAAGCCTGAGAACGCCCCTGCCAGGGCTGAGTACAACATCACCGGCTTCCCTACACTTGTGTACTTTGAGTACGTCACTTATTATGGTAGTACATGTGTTACACGAGTACAACATCACTGGCTTCCCTACACTCGTGTACTTCGAGTGCGTTACTTGTTAGTACATGACTACATGTGTACATGTGTCTTTTGTATACTTCGAGTATACTTCACTCGTTAGTACATGTGTTACACGAGTACAACATCACCGGCTTTCCTACACTCGTGTACTTTGAGTACGTCACTCATGAGTACATGTGTTACACGAGTACATGTGTCCCTTGTATACATCGAGTGTGTCACTCATGAGTACCTACATGCAGGGTTGGCGATTTTTTTGATTTTTTTAAAAAAATCAAAAATCAATGATTTTTTTTATTTTTTCATGATTTTTTTGATTTATTTGATTTTTTTTTATTTTTTCAGCTTTTTTGTCCTTTTTGGGGTGTTATTTTTTATGTTACAATTAGCCTACTAACAATAACAGTATATGGATCATAATAGATGGCTATAAAGGGCACTTATTGCCTCCAATAATGGCCAACAGGCCAAGGTGGTGTTTACCACTTAGGGATTTTCAGGTAAACAAATATTGATACTATGTCTATTCATTAGCTTTGTGAAGTTTGTATGGAGCAAGGTAATGAGCTAAATATTGACCATTTAACTGGCTTCAATATACAAAAACACTTCAGGAATGAAGATCTCCTAAATATTGAAGAGTCACATAACAGATAGGTAGCTGATTGCACAGTGCACAGCACTATCAATAGATCTACTAGTTTTATGTCCTATAAATCTACCAGACTCTACCTTCTATACACACCGACTAGTAGTGACTGAGTGACTGACTGCACTGTTCCCATTTAATTCAGACCAATTAACCAATACTAAACATAAACTGAACGATAACCCAACAAACCTCATACAACTTGAAACGAGACTTAAGTTATGAGAAAAGCTAACACTGTTTGAAATAAACATGTGCACAATTCAAATATTTTATATCCATTCACTGCATTTAATTATTTTATATATAGTCTTATAATTGTACTTGTTTTGTTTCTAGTTTTAAATTCACATATTTAAAGATTGAAATTAAATATTTCAATTAGAATACTCGTATTAGGGTGGAAAACCTTTCTAATTGCCTAAAAGGTCAATACAATCTCAACCTCTTAATATACAGGGTGGAGCAGAACCGATTGAGCAGTTTTGAGGTAAAATAAAAGAGTAATGGAGGTACATAAAGAAGAAAGTTTATTTTACTAGAGGTTAGCATAACATAGCATTTAGAATACTTATGTTTTGAAAACAATATCTGGAAGATGGGGGCTGTTAGCTGCAACACACTGTTGGAGTTGTTCTCAGAGGAGGGAGTAACCATGACAGTGAATTCCAATTGCTATTCTGCAATGTTGCAAAATTTCTTGCAGCCTATGATGGAAAACATTGTTGAAAATGAAGCATTGAGAGACGTGTGGTTCCAGCAGGATGGGCTACAGCTCACACAGCCCGAATGTCACTCAATGTTTTAAAACGCATATTTCCCGTAGGTCTAGTGTCTCTGAGGGGTGATTTACAGTGGCCTGCGAAGTCACCTGATTTGAGCATTTGCGATTTCTTTCTTTGGGGACATCTAAAAGAGAAGTTCAGAAGTTGCCCTCACACCCTACCACAGCTAAGGGAACAGATTATTGCAGCAGAGGTTATGGCCATACCTCGCCATATGTGTGAACGTGCTGTAGGAAACTTCCGAGAACAACTCTAACAGTGTGATGCAGCTAACAAACCCCATCTTCCTGATATTGTTTAATTTGTTTTCAAAACATAAGTATTTTAAATGGTATGTTATGCTAATCATGAGGAAAATAAACTTTCTTCTTAATGTACCTCCATTACTCTTTTATTTTACTTCAAAACTGTTCAATCAGTTCTGCCCCACCTTGTATAAGCTAGCTAACACATTTAAATTGTATATTGTAATCAATACATAACAAATAGTCAAATAGTTAGACTACTTATAGCCTTATAAGAATTAGCTAAGCCGCTAGCTACGTACAATGTATTGCACTCTTGATGCCTCTGTACCAAAAACATTCAATTTATTGTTTTCTAATACACACTAAAGGCAACAAGTTTATATACCAATTTGACATTCATAGTACCATGAATAACAATACCTCAATATAAATTGAAGACTGCCACTCAATATTTTTAAATATATGAAAAAATCAAATAAATCGAAAAAAATCAAAAAAATCATGATTTTTTTATAAAAAAATTAAGTGATTTAATCACATGATTTAATCATTTTGATTTAATCATTGCCAACCCTGCCTACATGTGTAACACGAGTTCAACATCATGGGCTTCCCTACACTTGTATACTTCGAGTGCGTTACTTATGAGTATTTGTGTTACACGAGTGCATTTGTTACACAATGACAACATCACTGGCTTCACCACTCTCGGATACTTTGAGTGCATCACTCAATACTATTTGGCAATGATAATCTTAAGTGTGTCCAGGTCTGATTCATTATCATTCAGCTCTAATATTTTCTCGTACTTGTGCAGGTCTGGCAAGGCAAAGTTCACGTATGAAGGAGAGAACACGCAAGCAGGCCTCGTCAGCTTCATCCGCAACCCTGAGCAGCCTGTGACGCAGAAAGTTAGCATTTCTTTTTATATCTAAACTTTTAATTTCCTAGAGTTAATGATCTTGATTTTGATGTTTATGTAAAAATAAAAGTTTTTGAATGTACACATCTTCATTTTTTTAAGGAAATAAGAATAATATATGTTCCATTTTAATTTGTATTCCAGTTTTCATGGATTTAATTAATGCATTTGACTGCAATTTAATTTTAATTGCTCAAATTTCACATTTTGACTTTTATTATTCATACATTAGTGACCTAATATATACATTGACCATTATTGTTAAGTGGGAGATTTAAAAACAAATTCAAGTATGTGCTGCGTTGTAATAATTTTCTCTCATTGCTGGATTAAATGACTCCATCATCAAGTTTACTATTTATTTAATGCTGCAGTTATTTTCATTCACTTTTTTTTTAATTAGATCATTAATGGCAGCAGCTATCATGCTAATTACCTTTTCGAATTTGATTAGTACATGCAACAATTATCATCATTATCTTTTTTACCCAACATTGTCAAATTGTAATTATATTTCAGCCTGCCGAGGAGTCTTGGTCTGACACTGCCAGCGACGTTCACCACCTCACCAGCGACACCTTCCATGCGTTCATCAAGGTAGGGATTTGGTCGAATTGTTTCATTATCATTAATTTATTGCTTATTTATTATGAAAATATATAATTTACTTTCTAGTATTTGCTATCAATGTTTTTATGAACTTCTTCTTGGTTAATGTGATTTATATCAATTGTGTGTCTTGATCGTATCAGTTCCTTCACATCATTTTCATAAAGTTTGTTTCACTCTTATTCTAGGTAGCATTCAATCTATTCCTATTTTGTGTAAACTTCCCGTTTGCCATAGACTCAATAATATGAAAAATGTGGCCAGTAATTGACATGTGTACATTTGATACAAATATATTATAGATTTAACTGTGGTGCTCTCATAGAAATTTTGTCAAATTAAATCTGGGTGTTCAGAACTCTAATTTACAGATCCAGTTGCATATTTGTGCTAAACTCTCAAGAACCAAGTGGCATTTACCCCTATCTTGTTTAATCAGATATTGCTGTGTCATTTCCCTCACGGTTATTGGGACTAGATAGGCAGTTCATTGTAGCCGCAATGGAACACGTGTCAGTAACAACACGTGTCATTTCTCCCATGGTTATTAGGACCAGGGCCTATACTTTCAAAATAAGTTAAGAGATCGTAAGTTCATCAGCCAATCATTGACGGCCTTTCAAGCAAAATCCACCAATCATAGAGAAGAAAATAGAGCGTAAGTACTTACGTTCACTTAGCGAGTTTTGAAAGTATGGCCCAAGGAACGCAGTTCATTGTAGCTGCAATGGACTCGAGTAACACGTGTCATTTTCCTCATGATTATTGGGACCAGGAAAGCAGTTTATTGTTCAATTTAGTAACGTTGATGCCTGACGCAGGGCGAGGCATCAGTGCTGGTGATGTTCTACGCTCCATGGTGCGGCCACTGCAAGCGCATCAAACCTGAGTACATCAACGCTGCCAGCCAGCTGTTGGCCCAGGGGGTGAGTGATGCATGGGGGTTTGAGTTATGTGTTAGACGGCCATGTTAAGCGCCGCCTCACTTATTACCTATATATTAGAATAGAAGTGTCGGCACTGAAGAAATAGGCCCTTGGCCCGTTGCCGATTCATGTACTTTCCGTGACTTGATTCACAAGGGATCCGGCCTTTGGAACCCGATCTTTCCACAGCTGACGATTGATTGAGATAGCTGCTGGACTTATTGCCTGGTCCATAATTTGCTAGGCATTTTAAGACAACATATGCTCCTGCATAGCTTCGTCTAGTCTGTTTTTGAAGATGTTCATACTCGGAGCGTCAACAATGCTATCAGGGAGGCTGTTCCACATGTCGGTGACTCGAAGCGAGAAGAAATGTTGTCGCATAGATGTGTTCCAACGCTGTTTTTTTAGTTTATAGCCATAGCACCTGGTGTTGGATATTGTTTCAAATTCTAGGCCTCTAGTTTCAAATTTCTACCTGATAGCAGGGCTTTGTTGACCAAGTTCGTGATGGATAAGTAATACATCATTTGTCTAAATAAATCATCTTGATACAGGATGGTTATACATGAGAGTTACAGTACAGTATACGGGGTGGTTATACATAAGTGTTAGGTATAAGGCTGATGCATAGCTAGGTGATGCGTTGAGGGTGGTGCGAGTGATGGAGTTGAATCGCTAATAGTTCATAATTATTTTATTTTCGAGAAAAGTAGAATAGTGTCTTTTCCTTCTCAGCATTATTATTAGAGCGCAAGAGATGTCAAATGCGAGAATTAAGTTCATTCAGACATCATAATATTGTATGATTTATGATATGGTTCTGAGGTATGACTAGAGAACTATCGTCGTGTTTAGTTTATCCAACTGTACAGGAAAAATGTCCAGGAAGTAGTGTAGGTAACTTTTGCCACCAGACGTGCCACACAAACCTCTTGCTTCCTACCCACCTCACCACCTACACTACCACCACACATCACCCACCTACCACCACCTCAATATCCCGCACCACCCACCTACCACCACCTCAATATCCCGCACCACCCACCTACCACCACCTCAATATCCCGCACCACCCACCTACCACCACCTCAATATCACGCACCACCCACCTACCACCACCTCAATATCACGCACCACCCACCTACCACCACCTCAATATCACGCACCACCCACCTACCACCACCTCAATATCACGCACCACCCACCTACCACCACCTCAATATCACGCACCACCCACCTACCACCACCTCAATATCACGCACCACCCACCTACCACCACCTCAATATCACGCACCACCCACCTACCACCACCTCAATATCACGCACCACCCACCTACCACCACCTCAATATCACGCACCACCCACCTACCACCACCTCAATATCACGCACCACCCACCTACCACCACCTCAATATCACGCACCACCCACCTACCACCACCTCAATATCACGCACCACCCACCTACCACCACCTCAATATCACGCACCACCCACCTACCACCACCTCAATATCACGCACCACCCACCTACCACCACCTCAATATCACGCACCACCCACCTACCACCACCTCAATATCACGCACCACCCACCTACCACCACCTCAATATCACGCACCACCCACCTACCACCACCTCAATATCACGCACCACCCACCTACCACCACCTCAATATCACGCACCACCCACCTACCACCACCTCAATATCACGCACCACCCACCTACCACCACCTCAATATCACGCACCACCCACCTACCACCACCTCAATATCCCGNTGTGGGGCCCTGTTGTGGAGGGGTGCTGGGGCCCTGGTGGTGGAACAAAGATTTATTGTTTGACCAAAATTAAACTGCGGAGCCTCTAGAAATTTTAACTGTTGACCCGCTTGCAAAAAAAAAAATGCTCGATTTCCCAGCTAGGTACCTCTGACATGACTGACACTAATCTTTATTTATTGGTTTTCCCTTCCTCTACCTTTAGGATTGTTCTATCTAATAATTAATGATTTACCATCCCCTGGATGTCTAAAATGTCTAAGATATGATGTCTTTGTTCTGTCTAAAATATAATATTATGGGAATATTATATAAAAGAATTATTATTATTCAATAGAATAGAATTATAGAATGAAATATAATATTAATAGGTATATATTATATTCTGATTTATATCTAACAATTAATGATTTATCATCTTCTGCACCCCTTAAACGGTTCTGTCTACCATATAATATTTTGAGAAAATTATACAGAATAGAATTATTATTGAATGAAATAAAGTTATAGAAAGGAATATAATATTGTTAGATTCTATAATATATATTATATCCTGAAGCTCATACATCATTTCGATAATGTATTCAAATATATATTTGCTAAAATATATTTCATACTGAAGCTCCTACATCTCATTGTTACTGCTTGTATGATTCGATAACATATTCAAATATATATATGATAAAATATATTATAGTTTGAAGCACCTACATGTCATTGTTACCGCTCGTGTGCATGTTCGATAATATATTCAAATAAATATTTGTTTAAATATATTTTATACTGATAAAATATATATTTTTTTACTTATTTATATTTTTTATAAAATATATAAAATATATTTTATACATTTCATTGTTACTGCTCGTGTGCAGGAGCCACCTCCTCCACCCCCACCGGAGGCCGCCTGGAGCACCATGGAGTCAGAGGTGCTGCACCTGACGGAGGAGTCCTTCAAGTCCTCCCTTAAGAAGAAGAAACATGTCCTCGTCATGTTCTATGCACCTTGTGAGCAGCGAGACTTAGCTGCACTTGATACATTTCTCCAGTCATTCGTTATCTCTTAATACTCTTAATCTAATACACTTAATCTCTTCTAGTCAGTCTCCTTCTCTAGTCATTCATTAATACACTTAATCTAATACACTAATACACTTAATCTCTTCTAGTCAGTCTCCTTCTCTAGTCATTCATTGTCTCTTAATACTCTTAATCTAATACACTAATACACTTAATCTCTTCTAGTCAGTCTCCTTCTCTAGTCATTCATTGTCTCTTAATACTCTTAATCTAATACACTAATACACTTAATCTCTTCTAGTCAGTCTCATTCTCCAGTTATTCATTATATTAAGTTGTGCCCCAGGTTTTATTTTTCATCGCTTGCTGTAGTACTTTCATCATATGTCAAGATCACTTGCAATATTACTTCAATAAATCAATATTAACGTTGTTAAAATTGATACTTCTGCAGCTTTAATTTCCTGAAAAGGAAAACATGTTTGTCAAACTTAACTCACACATTTCTTGTTTCACCTCATGTTATCATGTCTTCTGAAGAAAAAGTTGAACCATTTCTCATTTACCATGTTTTTGTATTGATCTTGTATCAATGCCTAAATTACGATAGTGAATGTACACATAGTGCATGTCTGAATTAAAGCTTTATGCTCTTTTATCACCTCAATTGTTAGTAACTGAATTTTTTTTACTGTGATCAGAATTCATTTCTAATTTGAAGTATATTATTTTTTCTTAATTCTTGGTAACCGAGTTTTGTGACTATTTCCAGAGCTAATTTCTAAATTGAAGTGTTATGGTCTTTATCACCTAAATTGTTACTAACTGAGTCTTTTTTTACTGTGACCAGAATTAATTTCTAAATTGAAGTGTTACAGTATTTTTTTCTCCCTAATTGTTGGTAACCAAATTTTCATGGCTCAGGGTGCGGTCACTGCAAGCGCGCCAAGCCTGAGCTGACGGCGGCCGCCGTGCACTTCAGGGACGACCCGAAGGTGGCGGTGGCGGCCGTGGACTGTACGGCCGAGCAGGGCTTGTGTGGCAGCTACGGCGTCACCAGCTACCCCACCTTCAGATACTTCAACTACTTCAAGACCTCACAGCCCTACACGGGTGGTCGCACTGTGAGTGGCGAGGGGCGGGAGTGGCAGGAGGAACTAGTGAGTGGTGCAGCTGACGAGTGGCTGGGCTGGCGTGTAGGGATTGTTTTGAAACGATACCAGGAAAAAAAACGCTACTTTTACTTATTTAATTAACATAACATAGTGATGTCGGCACTGAAGAGGAGGCCTGATGTGGCCTGTCGGCGATTCTTGTACTTTTTACCACGTTTTTCTTAGCTTCGTTTCGTGTCTGTCTGTCTGTCATCAAAAATTCAGACCTTAATTTAAAGCTCTTCTGATCATCCTAGAAACTTGAAATTTGGCATGCATGCTTATGCTGCCTAACAATTCAAGATTTGATCGTCAGAAATAATAATTTAATTTTTTAATTAAAAATAAAAATTATGAAAACACTAAAAATTCACGGTTTGGAATTGAGTTTTTTCTCGAACATCCACACTTGCCAACCCTGAAAATTGATTTGGATTGCTAAAATTGCTAACTAAAAAGTAGAAAATGAATAAATATGAAAAAATATTTTCAAAAACCACGTTTTTCTGGTTTTTACAAAACTAAAAACAGTGAAATGGAACAAATAAAAAAACTTTTAAAAATCACATTTTCTTAACGGACAAAAGAGAAAAACATTCACTTTTACATAACATTACATAACATTTTACATAACTTGAATGTTATGTAAGAGTAAATGTTTTTCTTTTTTGTCCGTTAAGGAAACGTGGTTTTTAAAAGTTTTTTCTATTTGTTTTATTGTGACTTGTCCACAGGAGATCTGAAAACAGGTCTTTCAATCAGATCCTTTCCAAACTGACAATAGTTTGAAATGGCTACTAGACTTCCACCTGGTTCAATATGGTGCTAGGTATCAATTAGTATTTATATTCTGACACAAGAGAACTGGCCCCCTTAAACTTGGAATGCAATAATACCTACCTACCTTCCGCCACATTGACGCCTGATACCTGGGATCGCATTGTCTTAACTCGCTTTAATGTCGCGGCTTAAATAGTAGTGGCTGATATCTCGTCTGTGATTGTCGAGTTAATTTTGAAAAGCTGCCGGTGATTGGTGAGTTAATTTTGAAAAGCTGCCAGTGATTGGTGAGTGAATTTTGAAAAGCTGCCAGTGATTGGTGAGTTAATTTTGAAAAGCCGCCGGTGATTGGCTGACGACATTACACTAACACTTGACGACCACTCACTCATTCCCCGTGTTGCAGGAAGCTGACTTCATTGCGTTCCTGAAGGACCCCGAGAACCCCCCAGTGTTGCCCCCTGCTGCGCCCCCCAAGTCCCCTGCTGAGGAGTGGGCATCACTGGAGGGGAGCGACGCCCTGCTGCACCTCAGCGCCCACGACTTCCAGGCCAAACTGGAGGGGCGCCGCGCCCTGGTCATGTTCTATGCTCCATGTAAGTTTGATTTTTGGTGTGTAGATGAAGTACTGTGATTTCCGACAAAGTACAGTGAGTTACTTTATCGTTATTAAAAATTTAAAAGCAAAGAATAGTCCACAAAAATTCATATCTTTATAGAAAACGTTTTCTATAAAGATATGAATTTTTCTGGACTATTCTTTGCTTTTAAATTTTTAGTTAACTTGCGATTTAAGCAAATACCGGTAAGTGACATCAATTTTTTATTCTTATTTTTTATACCAGGGGCCTCCAAATTTTTTTCACCAAGGACCAAGAGCAAGCTTTCTGAAACTTTCGCGGGCCGGTCCCGCCCATTTACTGTTTATAGTTCATGCGTAACCAGAAATAAACGCCACGCCCGATTTTTGTACACATTATGGTGAATTACGAGATATCCTCGGCGGGCCATATGGAACCTAGCCGCGCGGCCCGCTTACCACAGTTTGGCCATGATTTAAATAATTAACTGTGTATAAGAATGAATAAAGGTCTAATATTGATGTTATAAACCAGCACCGAGAAGGTGCATGAACTTGGCGGTCAGAAAGTCGCTAACTTTACGACCCTACACTGTTAGAAAAGTCACCGTTAAACAGTATTACCGGCTTTTCAGTAACCGGCCGGCACGTGAAAATAAACACCGTGTTGCCGTTTTTATTACAATTTTACGCTACAAACCCGAGTATCCTCTAAAAAAAACGCAAAACGGTTTATTTTCACGGGGCAACTGGTTACTAGAACGCCAGTGAGACCGTTTTTTCACTTTTTAGCTCATTTTCTCATCTATGGAAAAAAGGTGCTAATGTGCTCGTCATGTCCGTCCGTCTGTCCGTCCGTGACTTCACGTTTTCGTCGACGAGAAAATGCGTTCTCTGTCACTCGCTGCAGTGAGTACCGTCAAGTGGGGTGACTTCGGCCACCACTACAACAGAAACAAATGGCAGCAAAACAAAATAATAAACGTTGGTCAAAGTGACTGTGGTGACTTTGGCCAACGTTTATTATTTAGTTTTGCTGCCATTTGTTTCTGTTGTAGTGGTGGGCGAAGTCACCCCCGGTGGCCGAAGTCACCCACTTGATGGTACAGGGGCCATACTTTCAAAACGCGCTAAGTGAACGTAAGTACTTACGCTCTATTTTCTTGTCTATGATTGGTGGATTTTGCTTGAAAGGCCGTCAATGATTGGCTGATGAACTTACGATCTCTTAACTGTTTTTAAAAGAGTGGCTTGAAAGGCCGTCAATGATTGGCTGATGAACTTACGATCTCTTAACTTTTTTCGAAAGTATGGACCTTGAGGTATATTTTTTCACTGTATTTTTATGGAATATTGTAAGAGATTTTGCGTGCAGGGTGTGGTCACTGCAAGGCCATGAAGGAGGACTACGCGCTGGCTGCCAAGGACCTGGCCTCTGATGGCAACGTCGCCGGCCTCCTGGCGACGGTAGACGCGACGCAGGAACGCGCCCTGGCAACACAGTACGACGTCAAGGGCTTTCCCACGCTCCTCTACTTCGTCAACGGCATTAAAGTCGCCGACTACAGCGGCAAGAGAACACGTCAGGCCATCGTTAACTTCGTCAGGGAGCAACACGCCCTCTCTGTTGACCACGCGTCAGCTGAGCGTAAAGATGAGCTGTGAAAGCCACGTCATTTGCAAGCTCTTGCTAGGCTTCCTTTGTTATTTGCTACTCTTATAGTAAGAGCTTCTTCTATATTCTTCCAATGAGAGCTCCTTTAATGCTCTTAGTAAGAGCGATGCTTATGATACGAATAAGGCAGTTCAATGTCTGTTAAGATCTTATCGAGGAATATTCTTCCAGCTCCTTTAATGCTCTTAGTAAGAGCGATGCTTATGTGACCGAAAAGGCAGTTGAATGTCTGTTAAGATCTTAACGAGGAAGATGAAATATCTTAATTTTTCTTTATCGAGAATTCTTCTTGCAAAGAAGTTTGGACTTCTTAGTGTATGACGAGTGCTAAGCTTTTCAAGGCGCTAACTTAGTCAAGCCTGCCTGAGCAAGTAACCGAGATGAGGTAGCTTGAGACAACCTAACTCTTCTCACAATATCTATTTATTGACTAGCAATTAAGTCTTCTTTTGACATGGTACACATTTTTGAAAATAATCTGTTTAATATTGACATGGTAAGATGTTTTCCTGATACGGTTATTTTGTCTCCATAATCAGTTATTAGATTTTTTTAAATAATGCATTTTGCATCGTTGTATTCTATTTGTTATGCATTTTGCGAATGGCTCTTGAAAGAAACCGCGAATTGTTGAACAAATTAGTATGATTCTTTGCTGTATTTCGTCTCAAGGAAACACAAAATAAATAATTTAACTAGCGAGATAAGTGTAATACTAGCGTACATTTAGTGTTCCTAAACTCATGGCATTATGACGTAAGTCTGGCCGAAACTTCCTTATTATTCACTGAACAAATAAAGTTGCGATACCCTAATGGCAGTATGAATAGTTAGATTGCAATAGTCGAAATGGTGCTGAAGTGCGACCCATGTCGTAATGAACAAACTTTTTATTTATTTGCAGAGCAATATTTTGCTACGTACTTTTGAACAGCATTGAAATGTGCGAAATATTTCCACTGTTCAAATAACGCGCCCAGCATGGAACATTAAGGACAAAGACCGCCGTAGTCTTGGTATTCAAGTCCTGTTTCATTACCAGATAACTTCATGCTGAACTTAACTTCCATAGCGTAAATGAACAGTTGTTGAAGATTATTATTTATTCAACAACAGTCTTGAACAACAGTTGTTGTTAAAGATGATTATTATTTCTTTATTACCTTTGGTAAATACTTGGAAAAATACCAACAAATTGAATGGATAGGCTAACCATTCACCTCATTCATTCAGATGTTCATCTAGTGTATTCTTCCGTATTGAGCGTTATTTGTATAACGCTTTTCTTCCATTTGTATAATTCATTCATGTACAACACTCTTTCTAACACTTCTCTTCCATAACCTGTGCATTATATTGCATTCTGCTCAAAATCTGCTTGATTTAAATCTAAATTTTGTGTTACAAGACCAACCTCTTTCTTCGTTGTACGAGGTTGACGAAACGTCTACAGGCGTACTTAGTATTTATTGATGAACCTTGTGTTATTTTTATGTTTATTTCACTCCAACGTTTGTTGTTTTCAAGTGCTTCCTTCAGGTGCGACGTTCAGCAGCTCTTTATTTACGCTTTACTGATTTTTATTCTATTTTTCTAACTTTAGAATAAACTTTTAGCAGCCAGCTGAGCGTAATTATTATGAAACGATGTACTGATGTAATAAGGATTATTTTAATGTGTTCCCTGGAAAGGCTAAAAGATTTTTTTATTTGAATTAAAACTTATTACTAAGGAAGCGACGTGGAGTTGAGTTACACAGGGTGACAATGTGTGTTACAAATTCATCGTAACTGTCACAGTAAGTAAAGATGAACCTCTCTATTATAAGGAATTAACTGCAGGCGCAATTAAGTACACTTTTTTTAATATGAATTGTTCATTGAACACAATATTTTCACTGTTGATTGTCAACACCATGATTTATTTCAATCTATGATATCTGTTATTTTTTTAATATGCAACTAGATAAGTTATAAGTTTATTGAATTAATTAGTTTTATAGCATAACATCCGTTGAGAATCTGTCAATTTTAGATCGGCTTCAATGAGAAGATGAGAGCTTTTTGCTTCTGCATTCAAACGATTCATGTCGGAATCTCTTAAATCGAACTAGCAACGATCAGTGTCGGCATTTTTTCCTAATATAGGACGGAAAAAAATATTGATCTCGATTCATACACAAATATTTCAATTTTTCGATATGTCACAAAGTATTTAATATCATGAGCCCTAATCCTTCCTCCTCATTGAGGACTTCTGACGTGTGTCTGTGCTCGTCAGAAGTCCTATGGGATCTCGCGCTCCTAGGGGGATTGTTCCTGAGCGCCCCACCGCTGAGCTCGCGGTGTCTGACTGCAAGTCTCAGTTGTGGGGTTAAGTTATTATGTAGGTAGGATTCCTTACATTAAGTTATTATGTAGGTAGGATTCCTTACATTAATTTACTATGTAAGCAGGATTCTTTACATTAAGTTATTATGTAGGTAGGATTCCTTGCATTTCCCTTCTCTGTCTCTCTCGTGCGGGCGGCCGACGTCCCGTGTAAGCGTCACCTGTCCTTCCTTGTCACTTCGTTTCTTTGAGATGGTAACGCTGCTTCTTTCACGCCAGCTCCAGCGGACTGGACAATTGAGACCTCCCGCCCCTTGTGGGTGACGATTTGTTCGTTTAATGTATATTATTGAATGAACAATATTATGGGTTGATTGTATAATATAATGAAATCATTATAAATTTGCGATTGATGATTAATTTGAGACTTAGAATAATTGAGACCTTCCGCCTTGAAGGCGATGTTATATTTTGAACTTCGGTGCGAAATAGCTTGATAGCTGAAGCGCTAGTAAACCATTATACTACTACTATTACCTGCCCCTCCTTGTCATTTGTCCCTCCTTGTCACTTCGTTTCTTCGAGATGCTAACGCTGCGCTGCTTCTTTCACGCCAGCTTCAGCGGGCTGCACAATTGAGATCTTCCGCCCCTTGTGAGTGATGAACGATTTTTTTATTTAAGAAACTTTCATTAATCGAAACCTTCCACCACGTTGGTGACGTTCATCTTGACTTTCGGTACGAGATAGCTAGATAGCTGAAGCGCTAGTAAACATGTGGCAACTAAACTAACTAGCTAACCTATCCTTCGTGTTCAAAATATCACTTGTGCGAAGTTGTGTTTTTTAACAATGCTGCGTTAGCTTGAAAATTACATGAGACGGTGGCGAATATCGATTATTTGTGTGTGAATCAAGCGCTTGCATGGTCAGCGATTCTGGCATTGGCTAATTACCATCATACCAGCTTCATTGGCTAATTACCATCATATCCTAGAGAAAATTCCTTCTTCTTTTCAAATTTCTTGAGTTTCAGCCGTCAAATGCAGAGGAAGCTAACTGCCTTGTGGCTTTGACTCACATTTGACGAGCGCAATACGCATTCACAAGTCGACCTCATACCTATGATTGATTACATAGACATCAGTCTTTAAGACATCATTACACTGTGTAAAGATTAATTTGAACTATCGTTTTGACAAACAAAAAGTATCGTCTAACTCTCATGCATATTCGCGGCGAATCTACTGTCTTATTAGCTTCGCTGCGCAAAGATTGATTTTAGCTATCGTTTTGACTAAAAAAAATTTCGAATCTAAATCTCATTCCTATTCGCAGCGACTCTAATATCTTATTTATTTCTTATGTCTTTTCTATTGTAAGATTCAATTATTTTTGTTAATCAGCCGTTGTTTCTTGAGTGCTTGGGTTTGAATGACGACGACCACTTCTGAATAAACAATCGAGCTTCACCTCGACATTCTTCAGCATTCTTTAAGTTGTATTTATTTAGTATAACATCGAACAAACATGGACAACTGATAATTTATTTGAATTATATCCTGTATAATTTATGTTGAAATTTCGTTTTTTTTTTCATCGTAGATAAAGAAAAATTATGCCCAGTGAACTAATGTGTTGATGATCATAGATGCCTGTTGAAAATAACCAGCGTGAATCATTGACAGGAACGCTGCCGTTTTGAAGTAAAGTTTTAATATTTAATATAGACATACTAAATATTGCGCGGTTATACTTGAAGGTGGCTTTTATGTACCGTGCTTCCTTACAATAAAAACCTACCTGACATATTTTAGAGATTATTGTGCTTTAAGTCCCAGTGGGGCCATACTTTCAAAACTCGCTTAGTGAACGTAAGTACTTACGCTCTATTTTCTTGTCTATGACTGGTGGATTTTGCTTGAAAGGCCGTCAATGATTGGCTGATGAACTTACGATCTCTTAACTTTTTTTGGAATGTATCGTGTAGTAAAAGTTCACCGCACGGCAGTTCGCATCACACGGCGCATCTACTCACTACTACTATCGTAGGCGTGAATGTTCTGGAATGTACGTATATATTATTCATTAATAAATTATTATCATTCACTACTAATTACATTACTCCTGTAATTTTTGCCCTTTCACTCAGAAAAGTTTATGGCCATCTTGTCCGAATATTGACACACTTGCTTCATTTTGTTGCGCAAACGTCGGTCAGTGTGTCCCACGCACGAGCAAGAAGTGTATTGGACAAAGTTTAAATATTTGTTTGAGTGTAGCTTGCTTCGTGTGATGAGAACGAAGGGGTTTAACGCCCCCTCGGTACCGGAGTTGTCTTAAGCTTTATATTTAATATAAAGCTTATTAATATATTAATATTATTATTAATGTCCAAATTATCGAGTTAGTGGTGAACCTGACGTGGCGTTGGTCATATTTGGATAATTTATGCAGTTTGATTGAAGACCAGAGCATACTTTTTATTAATAATTTTCTTTTTGCTTTTTTTTTCAATAAGCTGAACAAAATTTCTTGCTTGATTTTTGATCTCCAAGCACCTGCAAGTAATTTTGTTCGGCTTATTGAAAAAAAAAAACAATAAAATTGTTAATAAAAAGTACGATCTGGTCTTCAATCAAACGTGCATAAATGAAGAACTTCTGCCTAACTACACTTACATAGATAATAGTCTATTTTCGCTCCCAAATGCCAGGCTGGTGAATGAACATATTCAGCACTAGGAAAAATAAATGAGTTGTCTTTTCCAATGTTGACGCACTTTCCTACCCATGTTCCTGTAGAGTATAGAGAGTGGCCGTAGCACTGATTTAACCCTATCGCAGGCCAAGTTTAGTCAGGATGACCTGCGCTAAATCGCTATTTAGACAAAGTTCCGCGCATTTCTCTGCGTGAGGATCTGTATTGCATGAGGGAAATGTTTAAGTAATACTAATTCCTGCCGATTATTGTCATCAATGAGCTGTTATCTACGGAAACGGTTGCTTTTAAGGATAGCCCGACCCATCTCGAGTTGTTTCTCCTGCACGACTCTTATCGCTGATTGGACACCAGACACTCTCATGAACGACACTTTTGTGTTTTTGCTATCAATCTTTGCCTGATGTGTCAAGATCTTAATACACTGAATTCTTCATAGTATTGTACTATTTGCGTTGTACGTGGCCATATCTCGAATGAATATCTCTTGCAGAAATTCATAACGGATTTCGCGATTTTCTCCAGGCCAATGCCAGATATAATCATGAATTCTAGACATAAATTGAACCTGTGAGCGAGTGTGATATTAAGTGTGGCTTATTGCCGTGTTCCAGGATTTATTTTGATCAAACATCATCTTAATCATTATGACGGATGAAGATGACCAGAAAAGCTCTCTTGCCGAACTTTTGTTGGCCAAATCCCGTCGTTTACGTCCCTGTCAAACTCTCGTCACCCGTACAGACGGTTCGTGCCGTCTCGAGGCTCGCGACAGATCGGGAAATTTTACAGCCGTTACCCTCCAAGAACTTTCCGGGTCGGGAAAGCAAGAAGCTAATATCACTGATGAAAAAAACCGTGGTGCTATGATTCATCAAGGCGGTGGTCAATCGTCAATGATATTGAATTCTGAGGGGAACCGTGTGGGGCCCTCACTCATGGCAAAGTGTCCAGGGTTTGTGGTAGACACGAAGCCCGACCTTCTGTGTTGCATGGTGCTGCCTCATCTTCTACTAGCAGGGCAAGATGTTGCTCATGACGTGACTATACTGAAGAAGTTTGGTGTCACGGCCGTACTGAGTTTGTTACCACATGAAGGATCTGAAGAGGGAAATGTTTGGATGCTTACTGAAGACGGTACCTTGGTTAAATCGGATCGTCATTGTTCAAAAGAGAGTAGTGAACAAGCATCAACTAGCAACGAAGCATTGAGTTTGTTACCACATGATGGATCTGAAGAGGGAAACGTTTGGATGCTAGTTGAAGACGGTAACTTGGTTAAATCGCCCCGTCATTGTTCAAAAGACAGTAGAGAACTAGCATCAACTAGCAACGAAACAGCAACCGTGCCTGCATCGTTAGGACCAAAGAAACCTGGTGATTTTTCCGACTTGAGATTTACAAGAAATGAAGACGAGTTTTCCACCAGTTCAATACTCCGAGTACATTGCGGTCTCCTAGACACCCCCGAGAGCCGTATACACGCGTGTCTGCTGAAGTGTATTGCATTTATAGACCAAGTGAAGCGAAGAAATGGAGTCGTGCTGGTGCACTGTAACGCTGGCGTATCTCGCGCGCCCACTGTAGTTATCGCTTATTGTATGAAATTCCTAAGAATTTCCTACTCCGAAGCTTTGAAATTTGTGAAAGAGAAGAGGCCTTATATTAAGCCTAATGAAGGTTTTGTAGAGCAACTCAAAGAGTTCGAACAATACCTGCTAGCTCTATAAGCTCTTACTGTACGCATACAAAAGTCGATATTAGATATTAAAAATCCGTCTCTTGAGTTTCCTAATCAATTGTTTGAATTCGAAGCGTTGCTGATTTTATTGCTAAATGCTTGCTTACTTTTACGACTTACTACGTTTTTTGTGTTGCAGGAATATTCCATCTCGTTTTTTATGTTTTAATATTGTTATTTGCGGCCAAATTACGACATAATGGAAGTAAACAAACAACATGAAAGTTGTGGCGAAGATCGCTTAGAGCATTCAAGAATAGATTCTATTCCTCGGGACATCTCAGGGGAGCTCACTTCTAGCGAGCCGAAGCCTGGGCATAAAACAGCATCGAGGAATAAATTACAAAATCAATCCCCAAACCAGAACCCTGGGGTTGGAAACCAGATCAAGGCGGCACAGAAACAACAGAAGAAAATACAAAAACAACTTGTGGGTGAAAACGTGGAACGCATCAACTATCTGTACCAGAGCGCATGTCTCATGTCCCTGGTTTGTGCTGAGCCAAGTGTCAGTACAAGCCAAACTACGCAGTCGGTGGCTGCTCAAGACACAACTACACGATCTGAAATTTGTGATACCGAAATTACTAGTGACAAACCAACTAAAGTTTCCAACTTGAACCCTAGGTTGACTTCAGATATTCCAACTTCTCTCTCCAGAGATACACAACCTAGTCCATGCACACCGTCGTCCAAGAGCTCTGGCTCGGTTACTCAAATTTTAGGCTCGCCTGTAGGACCGAAAATGTTAGGCTCGCCTGTAGGACCGAAAATGTTAGGCTCGCCTGAAGGACCGAAAATGTTAGGCTCGCCTGTAGGACCGAAAATGTTAGGCTCGCCTGTAAGAGCGAAAATGTTAGGTTCGCCTGTAGGAGCGGAAATGTTAGGCTCGTCTGTAGGACCGAAAACGTACAGTAGCCTGCCAGTCCCCGCCGACGTGGTCCAGCTTCACCGCGAGATCAGCTCAAACTTGGGGAGCACCTGCCGAGCCATCGGCCGCAAGTGTCAGCTACGCATGAGTCACCTCATGAAGAGGGAACTCTGTCCCTCGTGTTACGCGCCTCTCATACCCTCGGTGTCAGCATCTTCTAAAATAATACGCGTCCGCAAGAAGAGGGTTCTTGTTCTGCGTTGTTATACTTGCGGCGGTCGACGGAAACGGCCGTGTCAAGACGTCAAGTTGCTCTGGAGCGAAAGACCTGAAGCGCTGTTGTGAGTATAGAGAGATTTGATGTTGTCCTTTCTTTACGCACCAGCTCGACATAATTTAACCCTCTACCGCCTGACATGAGTAACCGGAGCAATATTGTCACAAGCCTACTTCCCAAAAATTATACGTTCTAGTGAGCGCAAAATGACTTGCACTGATGGTTGCCGCCACGTACAACTTTAAAATGTTCTCTGTTGCGAACAAACGTCCTCAGGTTGTTACACTCAATAGTTTACGTATAATTTAAGTGGAAAGTTATGTTCCCGGAGAGTGCATCTTCTCCGAATATTGACGGAGAAGATGCGCATCGGACATCTTCTCATGGCGGTAGAGAGTTAAAACTGTTCTTGCTTTTCGTTACAGTAAACTTCTCAAAATTCACGATATTTAAAAACAATAATGTTTTACATTGGTTGTGGAATTTCGCTACGAGTTCTCGAGCGCCTAGGCCCTAAACCATAAGTGCAGTCTATAAACACAACATGAATTGTAAAAGAAGATATTAAAATCTGTATTGAGGCTACGAGTAATATTTACAAGCATATACAAACGTTGCGTGATATCAGATAGTGGCTAGAAGATTCCTGCTCCCACTTCCAGTTTTTTTGTCAAGTAAATTTTACAATAATTGTAAATTTTGAAATGTAAGCCTTATTTAGATATTGCATTTAGTTTCCATGGAATGAAATTACAAAAAGATCGGCCTGAATACTTATGCTTATTTCCCGTTGCCTTACGTCTCATTTGTCAACGTAGGTTGTAATGTCTGCGCTGTAAATAACGGTTGTGCTCACCGATTGTGCTTAATTCAATGCTAGGAAATTTGAAGTGACAATGGACTCTGAAATGTTTTCTAAAATGATATGCCAAAATCTGCCTGCATTTAATTAATTTGCATTTCAATCAATTAGGTGATGTTAGTTGTCGTGCATCGTACCAGAACGTAATACCTGTTTCAAGTGATATTTTTTAACGTTTTGCGGGAATAAAATGTTTACACCTGTAGTATCACGACAATATATTGTTGACAACTGCAAATCCATACCACTTTACTTACTCATCGTATAATTTTCATTGGTGAAAAATATGCAATAGGATAAACATTCATTCCGGATATGTTTATATTTTTTAGCATATATTTGGAATTTTTGCTGTTGATTATTTTAGAATGAAATTGAACAATGAGACGAACAATAATGTAGAAATTTAGTTTATAATAACACTCATTGTGACGATACCTTGACAGGAATGAAACAGGTCGAAGTGAATTAGAGAAATTTAATGGAGAAGTTATTTGTAATGAACGTTACTTTTGCAGGCCTGGGTCGACGGTGTAGCGGAGCTGGATGCGTGAAGCGACTTCCTTCGACGTGTCGCCTGTCTCCTACTTTAATTAATACCTAATCAATAAATAAATGCCTATTAAATACCCTGCTAAATTTACGATATTGTTCTGAAACATTTTGGCTAATGATTTAATATATAAAATGATCGAGAATGAAATTTACAACATTGTTCTGAAACATTTTGGCTAATGATTTAATATATAAAATGATCGAGAATGAAATTTACAACATTGTTCTGAAACATTTTGGCTAATGATTTAATATATAAAATGATCGAGAATGAAATTTACAACATTGTTCTGAAACATTTTGGCTAATGATTTAATTGATGAATTAATTGAGAATGAAGAAGCGTCGGTCTAAATGTGCGCGATTGAACGAACAAGCGACAAATATTAAGGAGAAGTTCTAGGATCAACGGAGGCAAAACGACGAAGGCAGCAAAAGCGCGCCATAATCCTAAAGGATAAAACGTACCCTTACTCCACAGTTCTTTTATATTATTTACTGCTAATCCTCAGTTCATTTTAAATAAATTAGTATTACATTTTCATATTTTGAAATGAATGACAATTTTCTTCAATACCACGTAAATCATTCAGATGTTCCATCATTCTTGTTCCGTTCTGGACACATTCTCAGCTTCCTCCTTCAAGCCGGAACGAATAAAGGCCAATGAGTGGGTTTTATAAGTTAATTTCTTGCAGATCTTTGTTCAAACGCCGGTAGATGAAAAATTGTTATGATAGACCTCGCATACTGTTCTATATTATACTTTATTTCATTTAGTTTCTCACCTAAAATCAAATAAATTAGATGTCCATATTAGGTATTCTAGGGGCAGGGGGTCCATAGTGGGGCCCAGCACATAGTGGAGCCCAGCACATAGTGGAGCCCAGCACATAGTGGAGCCCAGCACATAGTGGGGCCCAGCACATAGTGGAGCCCAGCACATAGTGGAGCCCAGCACATAGTGGGGCCCAGCACATAGTGGAGCCCAGCATATAATGGGGCCCAGCACAGTACCCAGCATCGGTACTGTAATAGCCACATCGGAACGGGGTTGTAACAACAAAAACAAAATTTTGTTGAATAACAATGAGCAACACTAAAACGTTGAAGACCAATACAAGCTCCTGTGCCAAATAAATAATTCCATGCAAACTCATTATCAAATTACGAGGCCGCCTGCATGCATCAAACGCATGCAATAGACAAGAAAACCCAAGTGCAATGCCCAACAATTTGTCTGCCTCGTCACGTGACCACCTTGTCAGGAGAGCACTATTTATAAGCACACGCGATCTGAACATCGCGCAACCCTTGGACACGAACGTTTAAACTATAAATGCCGTCATAAACAATGAAAACAATTCTAAATAATAATAAAGTCCTTAAAATACAACGTTTCAAGTGACTAGGTACGCTGGGATAGAATCAGAAAACCAAGGCTGCGAACAAAAGAACACCGCTCCACTGGACGAGGCGCATGCCGGAGGCCAGCTTTGCCATACTTCACACTTCGTTCATATTCATTTCCATAGGTAAGAACGCTAGAGCGCATAACTGCCTATGAAGTCAAGTGCTCAAAGCCACAGCGCCGGATGTCCACAGCCACAAAATAAGCTTGCAAGAGGTAAACATGGCCATACTGCATCCGGCCAAACCTCCTCTGGCCTAACCTCTTCAGGCCTAACCTATACGAGCTGCAACCTTTCTCCACCGGGTCCACCCAAAACAAACCTGAGCGGACCTAACCTAACCTCATTGGCAGCAAGAAGTTAGAAAGGCGGTCCAAGTGCGCTAGTAGAGCCAGTCATTGGCTGCAAGAAGGATGTGAGACGGGGCAGCGTGAATAGGTTAGGCCAGAAGAGGTTAGGCCGGAGTAGGTACAGCCGGATGGGGAACTGCCTGTTTATGAGCGAGCATGCTTCAGCATTGGCTGAAGACCTACGGCGCTATTGTCTTTCGGCAGTGTGTCGCTTGTCTGGATTACGGAGTTCAAACGTAGTCTGCGGCTTCTAGTTCTGAGGCAGAGTAAAGTTATTGCATGGTGAAGCTAGGCGTTGGCTCCAGGGCTTATTTAAGAGTAAAATTTGTGGCCTACGGCTGCGTCCCCCGCTGGACGATGGTCAGGCGGCGCCTCTGTGACATCGTGAGCTCCAGCAACCTTCTAAAGGTCCGTTCACACTAGGGGCAACGCACGAGAATCAAGTGCCTCAAAGCGCATGCAGAGGCGCTTTGCAGCCTCTGCATGCGCTTCTTGACCGATTGACAAGCTAGCGATTGACAGGGGCCATGGCTCATGAAACACAAGCGCTGCACTTAGTAGATAGCTATGAAAGAATGATATCACTTGTTTGCTTAAATCACAAATTAACTAAGAATTCAAATTAATTAATTAAAGAAATTCAATTCGTTCTGTGCCTTCAATGTATTAATTTGTGACTTCTGATTTGTGATTCTAGATTCTACGAACTGACGATGGAGCTGGTCTCCGAAACGTTTTCTATAAAGATATGAAATGTTTGTGGACTATTCTTTGCTTTTAAATTCTTAGTTAGTAGATAGCTGTCTGTGGTCTAGTAAGGTTGAATGTGTACGCTGATCCGGCACACCAAATGTCGACGAGCACCACTCTCGTTTGGAGTCGTTCTAGATAGCCTAATTGATCTTCATAGAGAAAATGAATGCCTATGGAGTGTTCGGTCAAAGGAGTACAAAAATCGAAGTGCAATGTTCGGTCAAAGGAGTACAAAAATCGAAGTGCAAAGGAACAAGCTATGGTAAAAATAGTTGGGGCTTTAAGAAACTTGTGTGTAGAAGTCAGTCAAGCCACCATTGCTGAAGTTCGAAAGAAAATCCATAGGCCTACGTTGCGTTCACAATTCCATCGTGAATTTAAGCTGAAACGAGAATCAACCAAATCTGGCGCAGGTGCTGACCAAGTGTACAAACCGAAACTATGGTGCTTTGAATCATTGATGTTCATCAATGACAGCGATGCTCTTCGTCAGTCAACGTCTACTCTCGATGAAGACATTCAGATTTCAAATGATGTAAGTTACTTTTACATGACGTGTTTAGTTTGCGATTTTAGCTACTCCTGTCAATTTATGCACTACCGTTTAGCGATTTGAAAGAATGATATAATATTGGTACGAATATTGTAACTTTTTATTTAGGTCTAGGTGGCAACTACTGTTCAAAGCGCTTGGCCTCGAGATATCACTTTCAAACGTAGTGTGAACGGTTGTGCGCGGCGAGACACTGCAGCTAACGACTCAAAGCGCATGTCGTTGCCAATAGTGTGAACGGGCCTTAAAGCCCCGTCCACTCGCTCAAACTTATCGTCAGTCTTGCATGTAATGCCAGGTTTGACCGATTTTGACGGAAGACTGAAGAGCGTCCACACGCTCAAACTTTCCTTCAGTTTTTAGTGCGTTCGCGACAATGGAGGAGGCAGTGCTGCTCGCTGCAGTGATCGCAGTTTGTGCCACCTTAATTAGGTTAAAGCAATGCAAGCGTACGCGGTGGTCCCGAAAATGGTTTTAATTAAGAAATACAGTATCACAATGAGGGTTGATAGACAGCACCAGGCAGCATTGACGACTTCAATTTGGCACATTCTTTTCCATAGAAGAGTTTATTTTCTTCGTTACAAAGCCTTTGTTTGTTGTATAATCAACTTCTTTGCACTTCACTATCAATGCCGCATAGGCCAGTGCTCTCTTGTTCTTGTGACTGTAGCTTTTGATTGAATTTACCGTAAACATGGGAAACTACGATATAACTCAATGAACTCGCCAAATTAAATCGTGAAACCAGTGTCGGATATCCTGGGATATGAAAGACTAGAGCTAGCGAGGAACAATGTCACAGCTCTCATCAGTCATCATCAATGTAGACTGAGATAGCGTAGAAGTTTGACAAATTAGTCGGTTGCCCGTCCACACGCTCAAACTTATCGTCAGTCATGCATGAACCCAAAGGTCTCGCTCGTCCGTCTTTTCCGGGCTTGTCAAACCTCAAACTCCGCCCACCCGTCATGCAAGACGTCAAACTTTGAGCGTCCACCGCTCCGACTTGTCGTCAAACCTGGCAACATGCAAGACTGACGATGAGTTTGAACGTGTGGACGAGGCTTAACACTCGTCACTTCCATCGCTACTGCGCCAGCTAGCTACTAGGTACTCGAGTCTCGGTCTGCAGGAGGTACACCGCAAATGCGAAAACGTATGCCCAGGCTCCTGCTAATATCATATGAACTTCAATGCGACACAATGGTGTACTACTAACTGTTCTAATCATCGTATTCTCAACGTCAAACGATAAAATTTTTCATAAGTAGTGTGGTTTTGAACCCCCAAGGCCCAAATTGCTGATATAATCCTGGCGATCTTAACGAATCAGCCCCCGATCCAATATACATTGGATGTATAGTACACATTCAATAGGCACAAATATGGAGATCATTTTCTTCACATGCGCTTGCACGAGCTCCGGAACTCAAATTTTATCACAGGAGGAGAAAAAAATTAGTTTTTTAAATGACATGTATAAATGTCATAGCCTAGAGGCGACAGGAAGAGGGACATAGAAGCAGTTTCAGCGTTCATTAGCCTGTCGCGATTTTCAGCATCGCAGAACATTCACAGCTTGTTACGGTTTCAAACCCGCAACTCACTGATCCAATTCAGCTGTGCTTTACCGCCCGATCTTTTTGCCGATTCTGACTGAAACTGTCGCACATAGCTGAGATAGGGGTCGCCTGCCGAAGACCACCACTGCCCTGGATGTAATGGACCATCATGATTCCTGCCTTCCGGAAGGTAGCCTTCAACACTTCCGTATCTAGGCCGTGGGTCGAACCAGCCCTCGGTCGAACGGCCACTTGTCGAAGGACGATAAATTTTGGATCAGAACCATGCTATCTGAAACATAACCTCAGATGCGGTGAACGTAAAATTACGTAATTTAACGATGCCCGGAAGTCAGATTTGATCCGCGGCCTGGTGGTGCACGGCAGGTGGTGGTCAAGGCCGGAGGAGGACAAAGCCGAGTGGTGCACAGCTGATTGGTGGATATCCGGAGAGATACAAGGCGTTCGATTCAGGGCTTATTGGTGCACAAAATTGGTGGTGCACGGCTGCGCTCCCCTGAGATTGAACCGGCACCTCTCTGTTCCAATCCTAATACTTTGAACTGTAACCGTAGCCGGAGGGCCACCCCAATCCCAGAACGTCTCGGACAAAAACGCGGCCTCTCTCACGGCCGGTCTCGCGGCCGTGATTCCAAATTCAGTGAGCGTGGAATATCTCGCAAAATACTGAACGTAGCTTGATGAAACTTGGTACACATAATCATTAGAGCCTAACGGTGATGTTTAGCTCGTGACAATTTTTCAAAATTCGGCTTCATTCCTGAGTTATATGAATATACGTGGTGAAAATTGCAGTGAGCGTGACATTTCTTCTAAAGTACTGTACAGATTTGAATTAAATTTTGAATATAAATTTCTCAATACCCGACGGTGATGTTTAGCTCATGATATTTTTTTCACTTATGCCTTCGTTCGCGAGTATTTTTCACTTTTGTCTCATTCGTGATTTTAACAGCGATATATGTTGAAATTCACAGTGAGCGTACGATTTCTTCTAAAATACTAAACAAATTCGAACGAAACTTCGTATATTGATACCTTACCTCTCAACGGTGATGTTTAGCTCGGGAATTCATATAACTCAGGAATGAAGGCGAAATTTGAAAAATTGTCACGAGCTAAACATCACCGTTAGGCTCTAATGATTATGTGTACCAAGTTTCATCAAGCTACGTTCAGTATTTTGCGAGATATTCCACGCTCACTGAATTTGGAATCACGGCCGCGAGAGAGGCCGCGTTTTTGTCCGAGACGTAATCCCAGACATGCTAGAAACGGGCAACGGGGTTTTAAGTAAGTGGGTGTTCCAAGTATATATATATATTTTTGAGATTACTCGAGACTATTAGGATTTTGTTATCGTTAAGTGTCAAACATAAAGCTATTATGTCGATTTGTTTTCTCTGTTTATTCTGTCTGAATAACCTTTAAAAAAATCCACCTTTTAGGTTTCATTTGTTTGGTCCGTAGTAAGCCTCAACCGAAAAAACAATTTCGTTCGACGACCCAGACCCCAGTGCTCTTTTGAATTTGTGTCCTTCCGCGGCGGGACAGGGGGGGAATAGCCTTGAATTCTCAAAAATACTTGGTTAATCTAAAATAAGTTCATTATCAGGAACAAATAAAATATTGCCCAGTTGCCCCTGAGTCTGACCGGCTGACCCTGACTCGATGACGATGAGTCGGCGGACGGCTCACGGCGGTTGCCAATGCAAACTATGCTTCTGTTCTCTATAGTCCATAGATGATAGATTGTGATTTATGAATTATGATTGATATGGCTGATGCTGATGGTGTGCAGTGTTTAGCACAGATGTGCATGCATTATCATTGTTATGGCCAATGTGTGATAGTGATACTACTTGGCATGGCAAACATGCATTACCTAAGGATTAAGCTTAGCCTTAAGTGGCCAGTGGGTTAAGCCTTAGGTCCTTACTCCTTCTCCTTAGCCTAGGCTTAACAGCCTTAAGGGTCATTGCAGCAACATCATTGGCAAATTGTATTGTTTTAGTAACAATTATATAGGACTATAATATAATAATAGGAGTCAGGAGATAATTCATGTAGGCCGTACCGCCGTAGGGGGAATCTTGCTGCATTCTTGCAAGTTGCACTTGCAGCTTTAAAAGTGGCAGCAAAGCTCTAGTTACCTAGCCTTAAAAAAGAGATATATTCAATGCCATGCCAGTATCCAGCTACCTATGCTGCAGCCACAGAATTGGTTAATTTTATAGAAATTTACTTTATTTCTTTTACAAACCTTGAAAAGTTGCTGCATGTGCGATGATGTGGTACTCTAAAGAGTAAAGTCTAACAGTCTAACTCATATAACACAGAATTGAATGTTACTACTAATTACTGGAATCATAGTTGGCGATCCAAGTATGAACACGTTCAAGCATAGTGACTAAGCAGAGAGTTTTTTAGACTCTCCCTCAAGTTCAATTTTGAGTCCTATAACTTATAAGTAGACCAGTAAAGTATCATGGATCATACCAGCATTATCATACTTAAGAAATTGGTTAAAATCTTGAGCAAATGAGGAAATTAAAAATGAACTGATTCTGAAAAAGCTCTGGTTTGCCACTATGCATTCAAGAACAGTCTAGATAAAGCCATGGAAAAATATATGTTCAGATTTGAAATGCCTAGCACCATATTGAACCCGGTGGAAGTCAAGTAGCCATTTCAAACCTTTGTCAGTCATGAAAAGATCCGGTCAAATGACACGATTTTAGATCTTCTGTGTGTGAACAAGGCACAACAAGGAAAAGAATTGGCAACAGGCCACATCACTCACATCAGGCCTACGGCTACAGCCCTACACTGCAGCACCAAGATCTCTATGTTATGTTATGTTAATCTTGAGGCTTAACTTGAAAATTGATCAAAAACCACCTGTGAACTTAGCCAATTTCAATCCATTACCAAGGCCTTTTTCAACATTCTCCAGTAAAAAATAAGAAAAATTGCCTTCTTTTAACCAAGATTTTCAAAAATCTCCCATGAAATTATTGCTTTCATTTGTAATTTTAAAGAACTCTGCCCATGCCTAATATTCCAAATGTGTCTTATGGCTCAAAAGGGACAAATTTTCAATATGTTTGTAATTTGTTGGTCCAATTGTACACTTTTTAACTTGTAAAGTTGTACTCAAAGGCAAATTTGGCATACTCAATCTAAGTTTTGCCCTACTTTAAAGTTTGCCATCTGGTGTTGGCCTTTAATAAAAATGATCTATTTATAGCTTTTTCATCATCATGTGCAGGCAGCAGAATTAGAATTTTTCTACTTTCATATAAAATCTTTTGGTTCCATAGTGACAAATTTTTCATCCATTTGAAATTTTGTCGCCTGATTGTGCACTTCTGTTTAATATTAAATAGGATGTACCTACTTTATCTAGCACCATTTTTTGTATTTTTCATAGAAGAAATTATAAAATAATACCTATATGTTTAAAAATTACTTTTTAAAGACAACACTTCCTAAGAATCTAGTGTCTCCAATCTTACAGATGTACAAGGAATTTCTCATTTAATTTTCAAATATTAAAAAAATTAATTTGTCAATTTCTTTAATATAGAAATTTTTTTCAAAGTTATTTATTCTATTAATTGATTAATGCATTGCCTCTGACTTCACACAAGTGTGCAAAATTTCAGATCAATTAGACAGGTAAAAATGTGTCAAATATCAGTTATAAGATTTGTAGGTGACAAAATTATTTTTTCAACTTTTTTAATATTGAAAATTTTTTTTTATTTTTAAAATCATTTATTTTGACATTTGATTCATGCATTGTCTCCAACTTTACACAAGTGTGCAAAATTTCAGATCAATAGGATAAGTAGAAGTGTATTAAATTTTGATTACAAGATTTGTAGCTGACAGACAAACAAACAGACAAGAAGTGAAGTTAAAGAGAAGTGTTGTAAAAAGGCCATAGGGATGGGTGAAATTGGCCAGATTCATGGTGGCTTCTGCCTGTGAGGCTGTGAATTAGACTTAGGATTGAGCAGCTCCAAAAATGGCTGGAAGGCTCTAGTTGCAGCTCAAATGGTCAATATATTCCACATCAGATCATGTATGCATCAAAACCTACAAATACAGTATTCAGGATTTTTTTTTAAAACATTTTTCTGACCAGAACTGTTTTTACTTTTTTCAGCCTGCATTATTGCAGTGTATAGGAAAATATATATAGTTTAATTTTCAAAAAGTTTGGAGTTGCTTCAGCTGTAATACTATTTTAACAGTTATTACAATGAAGCGAAAGAGGACTGAGATGTCTGAGACATCACCTTCAACTGATGCTCGGCCCAAGAGGCGTCGGAATGACACAACATTGGTGAGTTTGTTTCTAGATTCATCTTACACTACAGTATATTTCTGTTGTCTAGACTCAACAAAACCTGCTATAAGCTGCTAACTTTTTATGCATTTATTAGACATGATAATTGGGAGGACAGCTTTAACCTTTGCTCATTTAAGAATGTTGATTGAGAATGTAAAATTTGACAATTTGCAATGTTTAGAAATATTGAAAATGTTTTAAATTGTTACTTGAAATTAAAACTTGTAGGAATGACTACAATTGATTAATGATGCTAACTGCTAGGAAATTATAAGATGCTATGAATAATCTAACAATAACGTTTATTTTTTTCAATATTATTATTTGTTGTGCAGTTGGATACCATCCAGTTCATATTTGACTGTCTTCGCAATCAACGGAAGCAAGATGAAGACGTGTACTTGTGTGAAGCCTTCTTACGGGTACCCAAGAAGCGCTCAGAACCTCAGTACTTTGAAGTGGTCAGCAAACCCATTGACATGCTCAAAATACAACAGAAGATTAAAACTGACCAGTATGATGAACTAGAAGAGTTCTGTGCTGACATCCAGCTGCTTGTTGACAATGCTAAGTTGTACTATGCAAAGGTGAGTGCTTTAATATTCAGTTACATTGATTCCTAATGGTCTACATAAATGTATTTAAGTCTTTCAATTATATAGATCTATTTTGTAAGTCATTACAATCCCTTCAGGTAGGTGATGCCAAATACATTAATGATGATCTATATTCATTAATCAATGAGTGTTCTGTATTGCATGCCTCTCCTAAATAATTACTAGATATTGGTCATTGCAAACCTTATAGTCATATTGTCTATAATTTATGCTAAACTCGTTTACACAAGATGTCAAGTTGTTGCACTGACACTAGCCCAATAACAATTTTTAATGTTATAGTTCAGTTAAAAAGTCACTGAAATCGATTTAAGTTTCTTTTGCTCTATCAATTATATTGTGAACGATGGTGATTGTTCACTATTACCAGTCATTTAATACCAGCATTCCATTAATAATTTCATGTATGTTTGTTAACTTGGATACTGACAGCGCAATTGTACAGCCATGAGTAACATTTGAGTCTGACCTTACTGCAGTAACAGTGATGTTGTGACAGGTCAAGTCTGAGTGGCCGTGTGTTGGTTAGTCAGTTGTGTCCTGCTAGCCCTAATGCAAAATTACACCTAAGCTGGCTCTGCTTTGCCAAATCACAAAAGATCTTGTAGTTACTAGGTCTTCTGGCTGTGCTGTGAAAGATTTATTAAACTGTTTAATTTTAAATTTGCTCTTCTTGTCAACTGTTGCTTGCTGAAATATTATTATGTTTTATCCGTGTTAACTGAAGTTTTAATGAAAAAGCAAGTGCAATAATATCCCAGCAATTGAAACTGTATTCTATCTATGTTTATAACAAGATAGTTACTGGCATTTGGCAGTAGAGCTTGAGACCATCTGTTAGCATTGATAAGTTGCAGTAAACATCTGGTGACAATATATTTCATTATAACATATATGTGTAATATTTTCATTACCTTCACATAAAATAGTTCATGAAAATTTGGATCAGGCATTTAGAGTGCTAAGGCATTTCAATTTTTTCTCTCTCTCCCTCTCTTTAATTTTATATCTCTCTCATTGATCTCTCTTTAATTTATCTTTCTTATCTTTTATCTCTCTATCTTTAGTTTTTATCTCTCTTTCTTGTTTCAGTCCACTGAGGAGTTCAAGGATGCTTGCGATCTGTGGAAACTTTTTGAAGAGAGCCGAGCCAGAGCTCCCGATGAGGTCAAGGAGAAACAGAAACAAAAGCAGCAACAAATTGACGATGATGAAAAGTTTCCCGGCAAAAAAGTGTGTTTAAATTGGCTTTCTGGATGTTTATTGGTCATTTTGATTATCATTATTTCCATGTAGGTATATATCAGTAGTTTAAAATTGACTTGTGTTGGTATGCTTTGTGTGTTTGAACAAGTATAAAATATTTGATACTTAAATGACCAACTTTAGGCATCAGTTGAAAATTGAACTCAAATAGGGTAATTTAATGTTTAATTCAACAGTCAATGAAAGTTATTTAAACTGCATCCTGATTTCTTATTTTTGCAGCTTAGTATCACCATAAACATCATATATGTACTATTAAAAAATATTTTTATTACACACCACAATATTGATATATGTATGAATTTATATTATTGTGAAATTAAATGCAATTAGCCAATGTGTCTATGCCAACTACCAGGGCATTGTAGCTGAATGATTATATATAAGTGTGAGCATATAGTGGCAAAACAGATTTTTCAGAATCAATTAATTTTAAAGTACATTTGCTCAAGATTTAAACCAATATCTTATGTATGATAATGATGGTATCCATGATACTTTGCTGGTCTACTTATAGGACTCAAAGTCTCAAAATTGAACTTGAGGATGAGTTTAAAAAAAAACTCTGTTTTTAAAACTCTATGTAACATTATTAAATAATAAAAAAAATTATTGAATAATGCAAGTATGTGACTTTAAAAAGGTACAGTTGCTAGAAGTGACTGTGATAAGATTCATCAATATGAGATGACTGTGACTGTGATATATATAGGATGACTGTGACTATAAGAAGTGACTGTGATGAGATTCATCAATATAAGATGACTGTGACTATAAGAAGTGACTGTGATAAGATTCATCAATATAAGATGACTGTGACTGTGATATATATAAGATGACTGTGACTATAAGTAGTGACTGTGATAAGATTCATCATTAAAGTTAACACTGCATTGTCATATGACACTCACAGAAAGGCAGCAGCAGCGGGCGTCTGTCTAAAATAAACACATAATTAAATAATGCGAGTATGTGACTTTATAAAACTACAGTTGCTAAAAGTGACTGTGATAAGATTCATCAATAAAGTCACCACTTCACTCTCATGTGACACTCGTAGAAAGGCAGCAGCAGCGGCCGGCCGTCACGAGGAGCCTCTGCCCCGCTCATCAGAGACGACTCAGGTCCTGCCATGGATGAAGCCAGCGCCATCAAGGAGCTCTTTGGCTGCATTGTTACTGCCAGGGATGCTGATGATCGACTTCTGTCTTATGTCTTCAGGGTACTGCCTTCTGAAGAGGTAACACTGCAATAACATTATTTTATACAACTAAATAGTTTCTATCATGACATCTTCAAAGATTTTCAAATATTTTAATTTTACAAAACAGCATTACTAGATCTTGTAAACTAAATATTCATATGAAGATTGAATATTCCTATTACTTAGAAGTTGTTCTCATGAAAGAAATATGTATAATTAGAAGACCACTGTAATTTGCCATTAACAATTTTTAGCGCATTTTCTCATTTATGGAAAAAAGGCGCTATTGTGCTCGTCATGCCCGTCTGTCTGTCCGTCTGTCTGTCCGTCCGTCCGTCCGTCCGTCCGTGACCACGTTTTCATTGATGAAAAAATGCGCTCAATGTCACTCACTGCAGTGAGTACAAAGTTATATTTTTTAATAGTAGTATTTACTTGCTTAAAATATATAATTTTTCTTCAGCGGTACCCTGAGTACTACACAGTGATCGAGAAGCCCATTGACCTACGCACCATGGCTGAACGGCTGTGCCAGAATAAATATGCTACACTGGACAGCATTGTTCATGACTTTGACCTGCTCTTTGGCAATGCCTGTACCTTCAATGAACCAGGCAGCTGCATCTTCAGAGATGCCTGTAAACTACGCAAGTTTGTGCATAGCAGGAAGCAAGATCTCATAGACTGCATTGCCAGTGGCAAAGGCAGGCTCAGGTATGTTACTTTATTTCTTTATCACAGTATTGAAGGTATGTATCAGGTATGTAACTTTATTACTTTCTCACAGTATTGAAGATGTGTAATTCATCTTTTCATCATGAAAGTAAAAATTAGTTATAAATATTGTTTTTGATTTCTATCAGTACCTATTGAAGGTATGTAATTCATTCTTTTATCTTGAGAGTAAAAATTAGTTAGAAATATTGTTTTTGAATTCTCACAGTAACTATTGAAAGTATGGAATTCATCCTTTCATTATGAAAGTAAAAATTAGTTGTAAATATTGTTTTTGATTTCTCTCAGTACCTATTGAAGGTATGTAATTCATCCTTTCATAATGAAAGTAAAAATTAGGTTTAAAATATAAATATTGTTTTCGATTTCTCACAAGACCTATTGACGGCATGTAATTCATCTTTCCATCATGAAAGTAAAATTAGCTGCATATGTTGTTTTTAATTTTACATTCTTTTTAGTGTAAGGCAATTGGAATGGTGTATGCATGCTTCCACCACAAAATTTATTGCCCCCAATTGAGCAACATTAAAATACTAGATTTTTTATGATTTTTAGCGCATTTTATCATTTATGAAAAAAATGCACTATTGTGCTCGCCATATCCGTCTGTCCGTCCGTCTGTCTGTCCGTCTGTCTGTCCGTCCGTGAGTTGACGTTTTCGTCGACGAGAAAATACGCTCGCTGTCACTCACTGCACTGAGTACTGAGTTAAATTTTTTATTTTAAAGTTTAAAAGTTATCGAGTGTTGTGAATAAAAAGTGACGGTGTTGCTTCTGCTGCAGGTGTCGCCGTCCTGTAGGAGGCAAGGAGTGGCACGAGCTGATGCAGGACATGGACGAGAGCACAGTGCTGCCCCTGGCGGAGGAGGACCTGGCTACAGGCGACGAGCTGCCCACCGTAGGGTCTGGACCTCCTGACGACGACGACAACGATGACGACGTGGACAGCGAGAACCCGCTGTGGCAGCTCTTCCTGCTGGCGAAGAACCTTACCGTGCCTTCAAGTGAGCCAAGTTACTGTAACTGCACATTTATTGCAGTCATTTTTAGCGCATTTTCTTATTTATGGAAAAATTGCGCTATTGTGCTCGCCATGTCCGTCCGTCCGTCCGTCTGTCTGTCTGTCTGTAGTTCTGTCCGTCCGTCCGTGACTTCACGTTTTCGTTGACGAGAAAAAGCGCTCTCTGTCACTCACTGCAGTGAGTATGGAGTTATATTATTTTTTTTTATATTGTGCAATGCATGTATGAAATTCACTGTAAAGGAATACCTATGCAAAAGAATGTGTATATGTGTATAAATGTTAACGCAGGTCGGATGAATAATACGATTTAAATTATGCAGTATATAAACTGGCTTATGTTATTGTAGTGTAATTTACTTATTTCCAGTTGATTTAGCTTGTCCAACATCGTTTACTTAACGTTGCTCGACTCCAATTTCATCTCGAAATGGCATGAAATTTCAATTTTTTGCACATGATTTGCCTAGTTTTTTTTGGTGTCCAGGGAACTTCTGTGATCTTAATGGCCGTCTTTCAGATCCTAACTACCATCTTTCAGATCCTAACTATCATCTTTCAGATCCTAACTACCATCTTTCAGATCCTAACTATCATCTGATTGAGCCGTTCCGCCGTCTGCCTAACCGCCGCTGGCACGCTGATTACTACAGTGAAATAACGCACCCTATCAGCATGAGTCAAATACGCAACAAAATCAAGGTATAAAATTGATTAATATCCTTGTTTATTCAGTTGATTCTTAACTTGAACTTTCTTTGCCTTAATTCCAAGTTTTTTTGTTGTTAAGTGCAAACATCGTTTATTCAGTTGCTTATTAATTTGAAACTTTCTTTGCCTTAATTCCACGTTTTTATTAAATGCAAAAATAATCTATTGTTGATTTTAAAAAATATGTTTGTTAAGCAAATTATAATATACTGTTGATTGTTGTTGATTTTTAAAAATATTTTTGCTTAGTCTAGAATTTTTTTCTGCACTGAAACGATTCCAATAATCCCAATCCTGTACAGAAAGGAGAGTACTAAAATATTTTTGTCAAGTTTAATATTTATTTCTGCACTGAAACGATTATAACAATCCCAATCCTGTACAGAAAGGAGAGTACTAAAATATTTTTGTTAAGTTTAATATTTATTTCTGCACTGAAACGATTATAACAATTCCAATCCTGAACAGAAAGGAGAGTACTAAAATATTTTTGTCAAGTTTAATATTTATTTCTGCACTGAAGAGATTCTAACAATCCCAATCCCGTACAGAAAGGAGAGTACTCCGACATACTGGAGCTGCAAGAAGATTTCAACCTGATGCTGAACAACGCCCAGCAATACAACAGACCAGACTCACGCATACACCGTGACGCCGTGACTATCCAGGCTGCCGTTCATGCCGCTGTGTCCCAGATCCTTCAGTCTCAGGGTAACGACATCCCAGTCATCAAATCTCCCAGCAAGAACTCCTCTGCTGCAGTCCAAGCCCAGAGTTCTGGTGGCCAGAGCTGGGCGGACACGGACTCTGAAGGCGAGGATCCTGTATCTTCGGCAGTAGGACGTCGTAGACCCGCAGCGTCCTCGGGACTGTTGAGTTTCAAAAGACGTGCCAAGCTTCTCTTCAAGACCTTAATGGACTACATGACGGAGGACGGCAGGCAGCCCATCGTTGCTTTCATCGAGAAGCCGTCGCGTCGAGAGTATCCTGACTACTACCAGGTATGTTTGTAATAGGCTTTTTTTATTACCTATTTCAAAAAGTATAGCTTATCTGAATATAAAATTGGATGAATAATTTTCTTTTGAAATAATTAATAGTTGGAATATATTTATATAGCTTATCAAGTGGGTTTTAGGGAAGCTGAAACTCAATGGCAGCCAATTCACATAATTTTTTTTTTTTGTTTTTAGAGTTATAAAACTTGTGGGCTGATTACCTTCTATAAGTACATTCAGTTTATTAGTGTATGACAGGTTTTAGTATACGAGAAGTTTTGACAGAGGAAATCTGCGATGGATTGCAAGTTATTTGTGATATGCTGCATGTTAACCAAACATGGTAGGTGTACCAGGTCAGCATGTTAACCAAACATAGAGGCTTAAGCTGTCCAGCATGTTAAGTCGACATTCCATGAATGTTTTCCTTCCTTTTGTGTTTCACTCATGATACATAAACGTGGAGTCAGAGAAAATTTACTCGGATTCAATTGCCTTCCTTATTAGGGATGTTTCATTCCTCTTATTACATATATATTAAACTTAAATTTCAAATACTCTTCATATCACGGTTAAATAAGATTTCGATCAATATGTATTGTAAATATGCACTCAAACAACCCCTTTATATTTATAATGTCTGGTTCCAAACAAAGTATTTGAAATTCCGTAATCTAGATCCTTTAAACTTAAAGGAATGTGTTCTGCATTAGAAATAATGTGTTCTGTGTTAGAAAAATTGTGTTCTGCGTTAGAAATAATGTGTTCTACGTTAGAAATAATGTGTTCTGCGTTATAAATAATGTGTTCTACGTTAGAAATAATGTGTTCTACGTTAGAAATAATGTGTTCTACGTTAGAAATAATGTGTTCTGCGTTGTCATCGTAAGCGTTAAGAAGTTCATTGTAAATGAAGGGCCTGCAATTATGAACAGGTTATGTGAACAGGTTATTATTATTTTTTATTATTATTTATTATGTGTACAGGTCATCGAGCATCCTATCGACATGGAGACCATAGAGGCGAGGATCAAGTCAGAATATTATGGCTGTGAGAAGGAACTCTTGGCTGACTTCCGTCTCATGCTCAACAACTGCATGACTTATAATGAAGAGGGATCACTCATTCACTCCGACGCTCTCACTCTCAATAAGGTGACAGGTGACTTAGTCATTCATTTATTACAAATGTGTCGTCAAAAGAGCTTCAGCGACTAATTTACTCATAATTTAATCACTATTTTCAAGTGACTTGAGTGGATGGAAACTAATATCACTTGAAAGTGTTCCTAATGAGAGACGCTAAATTTATCCATATGATTGATATTTTTAAATTTTGCTTTTCTTTAATTTTGGATGACTGTCTCTCCAGGAAAAATTGCTAATTTAATTTTATTTCATTTTTTTAGCCAATGACTAATTACTATATTAACCTATCACAAGTCAAGACATTTTGGTGTGCAATCCACACCACTTTGATTTAAATTTTATTTTCATATTTCACTCTAAATCTATTTCACACTTCATCTTACAGATGACCACAACGTTTTTTTCATTGATAAATGACTGAAAATATATTTCTTGACTCCAGGTACTGAACGACAAAGTGGCAGAGCTGAACCAGAGCAGCGCTGTGGATGGTGGCGCTGGAGTTCCTCAGGGCCAGACCCACGGCACGCCCTCGTGGCCCTCCATGAGCACGCCATCAGTAGCCCAGAGCAGCAAAGTGCTGCAGCTGAAGAAAACCAAGCAACAGCCGCCCTCTGGCATCCTGCGCAACATCAGGAGCATTTACAACGCTGTTGTTGAATGTCGTGATGCAGACGGCAGGCAGATCTCTGAAGTCTTCATGAAACTTCCGTCAAAGATTCTATATCCTGACTATTATGAGGTGATTCTGAATCTTCTGTAATATATTTTTGCATTGTTTAAGTCCATCATATAAGTTCACCTTTGTTCAATTCTGCGATATTTCAAAGATTATCTATCCTGACTATTATGAGGTGATTCTGAATTTCCGTGATGTTGATTTCCGCATTGTTTAAGTCTATCGCACTCCATTGTTCAATTCTGTGATATTTATTTCCTCATTCATCCAGTCCTTTGCACTAAATTATTAGAATTCATAATCCAAAGAGAGATCACTCTAGAATTTATTGGATCAATCTTTGTGGTGCTGGTTTACGGAGGTAGATTTCTGGTATCTTCATGAGATTACCATAGAAACTTACCATAGACTTGAGAACCATTCATGAGAATCTCATAGAAACTTATCATAGACTTGAAACTTACCATTCATGATATTACCATAGACTTTCTTATTATTTCGACCTCCATCTGTGGTTCAAGTCATTCCGCCCACAATTACAAAATCCTTCACTTCGTAATCGTTACAAAGATTTTAATAATTAGGAAGCTTCGTCCCATATTTTAAATATAAAAGCCCTCATGGGGCCATACTTTCAAAACTGGCTAAGTGAACGTAACTACTTACGCTCTATTTTCTTGTCAATGATTGGTGAATTTTGCTTGAAAGGCCGTCAATGATTGCCTGATGAACTTACGTTCTCTTAACTTTTTTGAAAGTATAGGCCCTGGACAATAAATACGCTTCCTGGTTTAAATTTTCTTCTCTGACGCAGTTGATCAAGCACCCGATCGACCTGGAACGCGTGCTCTACAAGTGGAAGACTGGCAGCTACACGAGCGTTGACGACTGCCTTGCTGACCTAACGCTGCTCTTCAACAACGCCTGTCGCTACAACGAACCTGAGAGCCAAATATACAGAGATGCTCTTACGTTACAGCAGATTGCTTTACAGGTGACTTTACATTACAGCAGATTGCTTTGCAGGTGACTTTACATTGCAGCAGATTGCTTTGCAGGTGACTTTACATTACAGCAGATTGCTTTGCAGGTGACATTACATTACAGCAGATTGCTTTGCAGGTGACTTTACATTACAGCAGATTGCTTTGCAGGTGACTTTACATTACAGCAGATTGCTTTGCAGGTGACTTTACATTACAGCAGATTGCTTTGCAGGTGACTTTACATTACAGCAGATTGCTTTGCAGGTGACTTTACATTACAGCAGATTGCTTTGCAGGTGACTTTACATTACAGCAGATTGCTTTGCAGGTGACTTTACATTACAGCAGATTGCTTTGCAGGTGACTTTACATTACAGCAGATTGCTTTGCAGGTGACTTTACATTACAGCAGATTGCTTTGCAGGTGACACTAAAGCTTTAAAGTGGCACTAGCCAAACAAAATTATTGTCGTGGCAGCTTCTGATTCTGGTTATCAGAAGCTGTGAGGCAGCTCCAAAGTTTGATTGGGTATGTCTTGAGTAACTAAGTTGGAAAAGATGGCTTGAACATGTACCCTGACTCTTATTGTTTTGATTGTAAATGCACATTTATGAGAAAGTAAGCACGATGATACTTAGATGAACAGGTCCATGCTTGATCGAGTGTTTTTTATTCTTTTTTGAGTGCACACTTTTCTTTTTATATTCACTTTGTGTATTGAATCTCCAAAGATGAAAGAGTGGTAACGCTATACTCCTGATCAATACTCAATGATTTTAATGTTCGAATTAAATTTGGTTTGTAATTAATCTACATGCGTAGAGAATCTAAGTTATACTGTCTTGTATTTCATTACACAACTGAGGCTGGTGTATTTTATTGCATAACTGAGGAACAGTTATTTAATATATTTATTGATGTATTTTATTGCATAACTGAGGCTGGTGTATTTTATTGCATAACTGAGGAACAGTTATGTAATATATTTATTGATGTATTTTATTACATAACTGACTCTGGTGTACCGCTGTGAGCAGAAGCGCCTGGAGTTGGTATGGCAGGACGTGCCACGAGTGAAGACGCTGGTGCAGGAGTTGCTCATGTCGCTCTTCATCACGGTGTTCAACCATGAGCAGGACGGCAGATATACCACCGAGTCCTTCGCTGATCTCCCGACACAAGATCCTGTCGCTGCCAAGGCAGACCTTCAGGTAATACCTTGCAGCAGGCAGTCTGTAAACTACACCAGGGGCTCCTGTAACACCAGGGGCTCCTGTAACACCAGGGCTACTGTAACACCAGGGGCTCCTGTAACACCAGGGGCTCCTGTAACACCAGGGGCTCCTGTAACACCAGGGGCTCCTGTAACTAATTAGTTTCAAGGGCGAGCCGAGTCAAGGTTTTTGATTAACTAGTTTTCGGCTCTGTAAAGTATGACAAAATCTTATTCAATACAAGGGTTCTCCGTTGCCAAGGGTTGTTGAAGTGTATTTCCAGTCGCACAAACAAACAACCGTTTCAAGCTGTTAGAAAAAAGAGCTCAGAATTTGTATGAAATTTCGTAATGCACAACGCCAAATTTCCTTCAATGATGATTACTGTTGTAAACTACTGTTATATTTTCCTGGTTTAATGGCATTTTCATCAAACAGCGCAGAAGCCTGACAAAGCAAAACGTACAACGTACGGAAGCCTGCGAGCGTACAACGCCAAATTTCCTTCAGTGATGATTAATCTTGTATACCACTTGTATATTTTCCTTGTTAAATGGAATTTTTATCATGTTGTATATTACATGTATATTTTCCTAAATTAATGGAATTTTTATCAACAGCACGGAAGCCTGACAAGCAAAAACCGCCCTCTGACGTTCAACATTCTGAAGCGGCCCTTGGACAAGGGTCCAATAATGATTAATGTTGTATATTACATGTATATTTTCCTGAATTAATGGAATTTTCATCCACCAGCACGGAAGCCTGACAAGCAAAAACCGCCCTCTGACGTTCGACATTCTGAAGCGGCGCTTGGACAAGGGCCTCTACAGCCGACTAGATCATTTCCAGGAGGACATGTTCTCCATCTTCACGCGCGCTCGACGGCTTAGTTCAGTCAACAGTCGCGTCTTCAAAGACTCAGTGACTCTGCAGAACGCCTACATTATCGCCAGGTACTGCTAGGAGCTTGAGTACTTGGTTTGGTTCATTCGTATCACTTCTGCTTGTAAATTGGTTCATTCGTATCACTTTAAATTGGTTCATTCGTATCACTTCTGCTTGTACCGTTACTTGCTTTAGACTAACTTTAAATTGGTTCATTCGTATCACTTCTGCTTGTACCGTTACTTGCTTTTGACTAACTTTAAATCTAGGACAGGATTTTAAATCTTAGAAAGGTTAAATCTAAGACAGGATACATCTAAGAAAGGATAAATCTAAGACAGTGACACTCCTAAGAGACAGGAGTGACGCTTGTATTCTAAAACTAGTCACTAATGGTCGAAAGTCAGTTATAATAGCGCATATAATGATTACGGTATTATAGTAGCTTATCTTTTACAGCAGATTGCCATCTGAAATTCTTCGTAAAAATACACCTTATTACTTGTAATTCGTACGTGCAAGTTGAAAGATATAACTTTATAAATAAAAAATAATCGCGCTGCTAAATTTTTTCCATTGATGTTTATGGTTCTCACATTAGAAAGTTATCAACATGTTGGGCTAATCAATATGCCAAAAATGTCGAAAGCAAATTCTTTCACGAATAAATTTAAATAAAAAAAAATGGTTTCGGCCGTGTTTGAACACCAATTTAATATACCCAATTGACGCTTGTTGATGACATTTCCGACGTGGACAGTGACAATAGGGAAAGCAACGTTTAATGATATCAAGTTTGTTTATGATCTAATGAAGTTTTGAAATACGTAAAGCCGCTCGATGTAACAGACGGACTGCTGGTCATTAATCAATCACTTGAAAACTGCTGTGTTTGGGTAACCAGTTAGATTCATCTTCGTGCATTATGCTAGAAAAGCAGACTATGGATGGACTATGCTTCTTCAGCACGTATGAATCTTGACATGGTATTGCTGGCTCGTCAGATTCTAACAACGTCGGTAGGAATGATAGAAAGGCAGTTCTTGTTTTGTAAATTTTTATTTTACAGGGCTTGAACCATTCTGATTCAGTGATCATTACTGAGCACTTATTTTTTTTAACTGTTACACTGTTTTTTTTTCAACTGTTATACTGTATTTTTAAATGACTGGCCATTTGGCAACAATGCCAAATGGTCGGATTGCCATGTAAATAATGCGCAACAAAATCTTCTTAGTCTTGATAAATTAATCGTTTAGTTGAAAGTGCAGTAAATCGAAGAGGTTGGTTTATCAAGACCAAAATTGTTTCCCGCACCAGTAGTACAAGCCTTCATTTTTGCACGCACTGAATAATTTTTATTGTGCAGAGACCGACTGTGCGGCGATGGTAAAATCCTGAAGTCTCAGGCGCTAAAGTTTACCAAGGATGACTTGGATGCTGAAGTCGCTGCTGATGCTGCAATCAGGACTGAAGAGGGAGAGGAGCAGGCTGCTGAAACTGCCATGGATGTTGACTCTAAAGTTAGTTTCTTGTTATGAGTTAGCATTAAAGTTATTTGGAATTGTGTTAAGAAGAAGGCCTTAACTAAGTCATCCAAGTAACAGGAGTGTGTCTTGTATTATAAAGCTCGTCACTAATGGTGAAAAGTTGATCTAATTTTTAAAAAGTTGTCAAACTTATCCTAACTTGTCTTGACAATGTAAAATGAAATCGATGGAATTTTTAGGTTTTAACATATATTCTCCACAAATTACAATAAACTTGTTGTGTTTGTGTGCCCGACAAAGCTGATTACTCTATTCCTCTATTATGCTATTTGAAAATAATTTTGTCGCAAGTATTGGGATTCCGATTCTGACTTTTGTTGTGCAAAAGCGCTTCATTATAATGCGTACTTGCTTCAATTAATCCTTGAATTTGATTCTAATTATGAGAACGCCTTTATATGAACTATTTTCAGCTAAGTTAACTTTATCCGATACCTGGAAAAATAAGAGATATTTTAATTCATTGGTATTTTCTGTTGAAATAGGTCAGCTGTTCAAAAATCTTGACTGGTTATCTCGAAATTTGTTACCCAAGTTGGACGCTCAAAAATCTTGCCTGGTTATCTCGATATTTGTTACCACATGATTGAATGTTGCGTCCATTGTTGAGGAATGATAATAAAATTATCAATAAATAAAGAATCTTCCATAATTTTCTTCGATCAGACAAGCCAGGAAACTGCCCCAGAAGCCAGCAGCACCGCGACTGACAAGGCCGTCTACGTTGCTGGGGAGTTCGTCTACGCTGCTCCTACTGAACCCGTGGGTAGAATAGTTTACTTTGTAACTTAAAAATATTCATAATATTTCGGTATGAATATATTTATAACATTCAAGAAATGATAAAGATATTTATAACAACGCTGCTCCTTCTGAACCCGCGAGTGTAATAGTTAACTTTATTACTTAAAAATATTTATAATATTTCGGTATGAAGATATTTATAACATTCAAGAAATGATGAAGATATTTATAACGAAATATTAAGATATCTTTATAAAGATAGGTACGTATTTATTACATTTATAAAGATATTATAAGATATTTATAATATTTCGGACCCATCTCTGAAAAATTCAATTTGCACAAATGCTGCGTATGATTGGGTTGTACAAGAGTTCAGAGACAGTAAGGCTGATCAGAGAGATCTCTTTTACTTGATAATTTCGGCAAATTTGAATAACTATATGAACATCTTAAATGGGCTATATGAGTTCAGAAGCTGTGAGGCTGTTCAGAGAGATATCTTTGACTGGGTAATTTCTGGAATTCGGTTGTACAGGAGTTCAGAGATTTATTTTATTTAGTAATTCCGGCAAATTTGACTATTGATATCAAAAATCTTCCTTCAGTCTCTTGGCAAGCGCATCGTCCACATCGATCGCGTGTTCCTGAACAACAGCAAGAGCAGGGCTGGCAACCCCGTATCTATGATACAAGGCTACCAATATTTCCGACCTGAGGAAACTTTCCATCCTGCCACCAGGAAGTTCTACGCCAAAGAAGTCTTCAAGACCGAAAACAAAATCACTATCCCCGTCACTGACGTAAGTTTGTACATATCGCACTGGATTCGATAATTGTTGTCGAAATTCGATGGTACAAATGTCGTATTTACCATCCTTGTCACTGACGTAAGTTGGTACATATTGCATAGGGTTCAATAATTTTTATCGTTAATTTAATGGTAAAAATGTCGTCCCACAATTTATTTTGTTTTAAATTTTTGCAATGGTTGCTTTTTTTGCATCGTCATCAACGGGTCTCTGCCACAAATTTTATGCAACACATCCAAGTGTATTTCATATCCCGAATAGACAATTTATTGTAGAATTTAGCCTACATTCTCTTCTCTGAAACTATGTGCAGGTGGTAGGACGGTGTCTGGTGCTGTCCGTGTCCGACTTCCAGAAGATGCGTGCCACGAACATCCCTGAGGAAGACGTGTACGTGTGTGAGAACAGATACCTCGCACGACATCGCTTCTTTAAGAAGATCAAGGTGAACTTATGGCTTTCTGTGAGGATGTGGCGTGGTATTTAGCAGGTGAACTTATAGACTTTCTGTAATGATGTGGCGTGGTATTTAGCAGGTGAACTTATAGACTTTCTGTGCGGATGTGGCGTGGTATTTAGCAGGTGAACTTATAGACTTTTTGTGAGAATGTGGCGTGGTATTTAGCAGGTGAACTTGTAGACTTTACGTGAGGATGTGGCGCGGTATTTAGCAGGTGAACTTATAGACTTTACGTGAGGATGTGGCGTGGTATTTAGCAGGTGAACTTATAGACTTTTTGTGAGAATGTGGCGTGGTATTTAGCAGGTGAACTTATAGACTTTACGTGAGGATGTGGCGTGGTATTTAGCAGGTGAACTTATAGACTTTACGTGAGGATGTGGCGCGGTATTTAGCAAGAAGAATGCTGTCTTGTGTTATAGGGAGACTGGGATGATGTTGTTTATTCAGTTTGGACATGTGTTACATATTAATTGAAAGTAATTTTATTGGGAGACTGGGAAGAGATTGGTTATTCAGTTTGGACATGTGTTATGTATTAAATTGAATACTTGTAGTGCAAGTTAGGTTATGAAATGTATGAAACCAAAAAATAAGGAGTAGATTGCATGATGAAATATTAAGTAAGATTTTGCTAAGTCAATGTGAAGTGAAGGTATCCTAACGCATTTTATTGTTGTCTATAACTGCATCACAACATCATAAGTCATTTCTACGTATTAATTTTATTAGCACGAGACTATGTTGAGTAACCCTCAATGTAGATTTTTTTTTTTGTAAATATAGTTGCTATGGTGATAGCGTTGGGATATAACATCGCAGATTTCTATTCTTGAATAAATAAATGAAATTGATTCAATAACATCGCAGATTTATATTAAAAAAATTGACACAGATTTTTATTTTGAAAATGAAAAAAAGAAATAAACGTGCCACGTTTGTTATTCTAGAACAAATGAATGTAATTGATTCAATAACATCACAGATTTCTATTAAAAATAATTCACACAGATTTTTATCTTGAAAATTAATGAATGAAATTGACGCCACGTTTGTACCAGATGGTGCCGTTCGCGGTGCCAGCGTCCGTGGTGCTGGAGGAACGTAGCGCGCCGCTGCACCTGACGAAGCTCGACTCGATCTTCAAGGAGCGCATCGAGCGACACAAGGAAGAGCTCGCCGAGGTCGACGAGGAGACCAGGGTGAACAGAACACCTCTGCCGGTGAGTGGTGGTCAACAGTGGTGAAATAAGGAGTGTTGATAGGTGCTGTTTGAAACTTCCAACACAACATGAGTGGTGGTCAATAGTGGTGAACTAGGGAGTGTTGATAGGTGTTGTCTGAAACTTCCAACACAACAGAACCCTTCTGCCAGTGAGTGGTGGTTAACAGTGGTCAACTGGGGAGTGTTAATAGGTGTTGTTGGAAACTTCCCTGAATGGTAACAGAAGGAGAGTGCCAGGAAATGATGATACCGTCTTAGTGGTGAGTTGTGGCCCGTAGTCGATATCCCGTCAGTGGCAGCTAAAATATGTTTAATTATATCAATTAGGTATGTTTTTTCGCACATGGTGATAATTACATGAGTCATCTTTTACTAAACCCTGCTATGAGATATTTAATGCAATTCCTTCGATGTTTCATTGTTCACTATATGAACTTATATTACTATATACAAATTTATTGTGGAGCTCGTGGCATGTGTCAGTGAGCCATCTCATGCCCCAGAACGTTGCCCGGACGAGCACCACGGGTACAGGGGAGCTGGAGTTCGAGCAGTACAACCTGGGCAGCGGTGCGGTGGTCAAACTCGGAGACTTTGTCTATGTCAAAGTCCCTCCCATCGCCGTGCCTGGCAATAGCAGCAGTCTCGCCACGCTCAAGGCTATACGACACGTCACCAGGATTTGGCTCAATCCACAGTAAGTGGCTTCATATGATTGATTTTAGATCTGGTCGGCCTTGGTTAATCTCATGATCATCTTTCATGAGTAACTGGGTCAGTGCTTTGCTTCAGTTATTTTAGTTTATGTCATTAACAAAATGATTTATCATTTCAATAGCACTGAAAAAAATGTTGAATTATCCAAGTGCAAAAAATTTAGTGCGCGTGGACTTTTTTTTTAAATTGAGTGCCGAGGACTTTTTATTTAAATTGAGTGCATGTGGACTTTATTTTTCGCGATATGACCACGTGTCAGTGAATTTAAATATTTATAATTATCAATATCACAGCTTGTGATCATATCATTATGAACATTACATCTTCATTTAATATACAAATTTTATTGAGAGTTCCATATAATATTACATGTTAGGAGGAAAAATCTCTACGTTATATCAGTACCACGTAAGAATTCCCACAAACATTTTAGCTAAATTATTAAAGGTGACATATATTACAGAGGCGTGTGCTCGTTCCTGGGTTCAGTGTACAGCACAGCACAGGAGCTGTACATGAGTGGGGTACAGTTGGACAGAACTGTAGCGTACAAGCAGGAGGTTTACCTCACTTCTGTACAGGATAGTCTGCCTCTCACCGACATCATCGGACGCTGCTCAGTGCTACATGTCAAGGAGTATGCAGCGTGTAAGTTGCTCTTAATCAGCATTTTTATCATTAAATTATCATTTCAAATACGTGTAGGATATTGGTAGAAAATACTTCTCTTTAATATCTGTATATAGTCAGTCATTCTGGCCAATTTTTATCTTTTAGAAGTGAGATTTTTTGAGATTCGGCGATAATGTAATTTTGAATTATATACCTATTGAACTGACTAGCATGGTCTACTAGTATGATCTACTTGCATGATCTAAACTATCATGATCTACTAGCATGATCTGAACTATCATGATCTACTTGCATGATCTGAACTATCATGATCTACTTGCATGATCTGAACTGTCATGATCTACTTGCATGATCTGAACTGTCATGATCTACTAGCATGATCTGAACTGTCATGATCTACTAGCATGATCTGAACTGTCATGATTTACTTGCATCATCTGAGCTATCATGATCTACTATCATGATCATTTTGACTAATACTTTACTTACTAGTCATAAGTTCTATAGGTACCATGCAGCTTTATAATATTCCATATATAATCTACTTCACCCACCTTATCTCAATAGAGTGAATAAACTATAGAACCATGTGGTTAAATAAACTAGAAATGTAGTTAAATTAATCAGCTACGTAGTTAAATAAACTAGCCGAGTAATTAAATAAACTACCCGTGTAGTTAAATAAACTACCTAGTCATTTAGTTAACTGAACGAGCCAAGTAGTTAAATAAACTCATCATGTAGTTAAATAAACTAGCAATGCAGTTAAATAAATAGCCATGTAGGTAGTTAAATTAACTGGTCGTGTTGGCCGTGTTGAAATTTCTCTATTCTAGTTCTCTGCTGTAAAGAACGGATCACCTACGCCTGTCAGGGTTTAGTGTGACGCGCCTGTTGCAGGTCGTCTCACTGAGGTGCTGGAGAAGGACGTGTACTTGTGCCAGAATTACTTCGACGAGACCTCGCGCCGCATCTCGCCCCTGCAGTCCGGCATCGTCAAGTTCCAGCTGTCGCGACAAGTGCTGCAGGACGAGGTCTATTACTTCAGCAACGCCGTCAACCTCCAGAAGGCCGTCGTGAGTAGGACATGCCTAGAATGTCTTATCCTACGCTCCTACTTCACTCCTACTTACTATACTCCTACTTATTACACTCCTACTACACTCCTACTTACCGGACTTCTACTTCTTATCCTACTTCGGCAACGCCGTCAACCTGCAGAAGGCCGTCGTGAATAGGAGAATTTTTTACCCTACACTGTCATAAAGATAGGGATAATATATACCAAATAGGAGATGCCTCGAATTTCTTACCCTACACTGCCATAAAGATAGGGATGATATAAAATAAGTAGGAAATGCCTCGAATTTCTTACCCTATGCTGGATTGGGGATAGGAGTGATGTATACAAAAATTTTTTTTCTTTTTGCCAGAAAGGAAATCTATAGTTTGTAAGATTATAAATATCATTTATTTGGTTCTAAATGATTGCAAGTTGAGAAATTCTTTAAAATTTGTAAGAATTGAAGTGATACGAATGAGCGCGTGAAAAGATGTTAAATTACACCGGAATCTCGGTCTTCACATGCATAGAAGGATGATTGATTTGTAAATAATTTGATTTACTTATTTATTGTTATGTTTCAGCTGGAGACGGTGAACCTGGCTCAGCTGCCTCGACGCCACGCGACACAGCAGGCGCAGGTTCCATATAATATTCCTGAATTAAATTACGCACAGAAAACATCAATTTAAAAATTCCAGCCAATGATGCATTACTGAAGATGCTCGGAAACCGTTCATTTAGTGAAATGTGAATTAGGAATCAATAACGTTTACTAATCTCTACAATTGTCACTAGTGCCGCGAAAAAGTATTTAAATCACCTATTTAACCCACGAGGCTGAAATTGGTGGCCTGAAATTGGTAATATGACGATTGATCTCTGTTGAAACTTCTGACACAACTCGGTAGCGTTTTATTCAAGGCTCTGTATGAGGTGCAGTGTTCGGCTACGAAGTGCTTTGTATTATCTTGGTGAAAACATGGCTAGCGAACCATAACCATGTAGAGAGAACCGTAACTTATGTCATCTATCCTGTCTTGTAAGCCTAGCTCATAGCCATAGCCTGCAAGCCTGGCTCATAGCCATAGCCTGAAAACCCAGCTCATATGAAAGCAATTTCGTTTTAAATCTCTTGCTCAAAAATATTTATTTTCGAATTTTAAGCAGCTCGGAGCGTCAGGCCCCGTGCCATTGGATGAGGATCTGTCTAATGATCTGCTGGTGGGCGAGGACTCGTTAGACAGCAGCGCCGCTCCCTCAATTTCCTCGGACTCTACTCCACCTTCCCTCGCTGGGCATCACTCCGGGGCTCCTGCCTCCCCAGCAGTCCACTCCGGCGCTATTACTTCCAAGTCTGCGAAAAAGGTGAGCCGAATATAACGCTAGGGCATGAATATTCACTATTTATTCACTGATATTATTCTGCTTCAGGTGGTTAGTATCTGTGACTTATCGAGTGTAAACTGAATCTAAATAATGAATGAGCTGCAGTTTTCATGCCGTACATAATTTTCTTGTTTCCTCTACTCATGTTAACCAAAATATTGTACTTCAAATTTTGAAAGATAAACTGCAGGTGACCGCAGAAAGAACTCCAATATTCCGATACAGGCTTCTATCATAAAACCTGAAAATTTAATTTCATACTTTTCTTACTTTTCGTTTAATCTTTTAAATAGTCAAGTTCTTGGCGCAGCAAATTATCATTTCAGCTAACATTCTCCTCCTTTTATTCGTGAAGACACCGGGCCGGAAGCAGGTGTCCGGATACCTGCTCTTCTCGAGCGAGATCCGTAAAAGTGTTACGATGCGGAACCCGAGCGCTAACTTTGGAGAGATATCGCGTCTGGTGGGCATGGAATGGAAGAACTTGTGCGAGGTCGAGCGAAAGGCTTTTGAAGACCGCGCTCATGTCGTCAACCAGGAAGCTGCTGAAAAAGCCCTTTTGGGGACCCCGGAGACTCCAGTGTCAAGTGTGAGTTATTTTCTAGGAGACAGGCACTAGTGATGGTGAACGTCTAGTGTAGGTGGTTGCCAAATGCTTTTAATTTGCAGATGTCCCACAGTAATAGTGTGAGTCTTGCCTAGTTGCATTACTCAAGTGACAGACGAGCAGTTTAAAAGCAAAGAAAACGCCAAGCAAATTCACCATATCGATTTCGAAAACGTTTTGGAGTCCAGCTCCATCATCAGTTTGACAATCTAAATAAAAAATGTATATAATCATTTTATAAGTCAAAAATCTAAGACAGACATAAAAACCTAAACAATACCTAACATTATATCGAAAAACAGGACTCGATCGGAACAACTCAGACTTAGGAGTTAGACGAGATGTATTTAATTTGATATTTTTTCTATAGAAGGCAAGTTAAACGCGAATGATATACTTTTATGTCATGCATGATTCTAGACTTCTGACATCGTTAAAACTTGAATGCTTTCAGGTGTCTGCCGCTCACGAGATGCCACTGCCCACCAGCCCGGACATTGTGTTCGAGTGTATGTGGGGCGACTGTGACGTCATGTTCGAGGATCTCGCTGATATGTACGATCATCTTCTCAACGAACAAACTGGACACGTCTGCAAAGTCAAGACGGTCAGTGAGCACTTGTTTATTTCGCTTCATTTATTAATGGAGTTTCTTGCAAAATAAACAGTTAACTAGTACCTCAATTAAGCCCTCTCATTTTTTGCATTTCAGCAAATTTGCTTATCTTTACGTTACTTGTAACGAGAAAAGTAGATAACTAACTTTTTGGTTGTAGGACTAACGTACAAGTAAAATGAATTCTAATTGGTAATATTTCTCTGATGTGTTATTATCTAGCAATGAATGTTGCGTACCTATACCTATGAATTATCTATAATGAATGTGGTGAATGAATGTATTTATGCTGCAGACTTTCGAGTGTCAGTGGCGCACGTGCAGCCGTCACAAGAAGAACAACCTCATGCCCTTCCCCATGCTGGCACGCCTCACCCGCCACACCCGCGAGGTGCACCTCATGAAGAACACAGGCCGCATCATCCAGCCGCACGACCGCAGCAGGTACGTACGTCATGTTTAGGGTGAGGGCCACGATTTATACCCGTTGTTGTTGTAATTGCCCATCCTGGTAGTGGCGACTAGGGAGGGGGGGTGATAGGTCAGTTTTTCCGGGCACTTGGTGCCACTGGTAGTTCTACGACCATCACTGTCTCGCTGACCCGCCAGAACCATTTGATTGCATTACACAACACCCTGGACAAGCTAGATACTCATTTATCAACCAGAGTTGCATGAATGTCTGAGTTGACCATGAGCTGAGCTTCTCGGAAGAACTTGTCCTCAGTGGGACTCGAACCCGGGAGCTGGGTGTGAGAGACAGTCTCTCACCACTGCACCACCACAGCTCTCATTTGTGCCCGTAATGCGCCGGACCGTTTCTGTTAGTAAAGGATTTTGAATCTTTCTTGGTGACTGCGGCACCGTAATAGATAATGTGATAATACCGTAATAGATAATTATAATCATGTTTTACAGGAACTTCGTGCCTTCCTCACGGCGGTCTCTGGTCCCTGCAGCAGCACACATCGCGCCCGCTACGCCGGCAGCTACGGGTGTCTCTACCGCTGCTAATACCATGCTTCCCGGTGGGTGAATTTACCTGAGCTATTTACCATGTCTTCTGTAGCATGTGGTTCAGTACAATATATTAGGATTGTCGGTTAGTAGATTTTGAAATGATGGTGAGGTTTGTTGGAAGTGGGAATTAAATTATGCTGTGACAAGGGGCTTTAGACATGCGTTTAGACAGGTTGGCCTGTTCGGAAGGCCCTGTAGGTTAATACAGATTGGCCATATTCGGAAAACGTTTCGAGAGTCAATATATTCACACTACAGCGAGTCATATTTTCGAAACTATATTTCTCGTGTGTTGTCGCTAGGTACGTAGGTATATTCCGTCACTTCAGATTACACTGAGCACCTATTGGTCGTCACAGGCTTCAGCTTGGGCAAGTCAGGCTTCCAGGTATCGGTTCTCAGCAACAGTGGCACCTCACCAGCACCCACGGGGCTCGCTGGTCTCCTGCAGAATCAACGTCAGCCTCAGATTCTTTTTGCTGCGACGCCTGCAAAGACTCAGCGTTTGCTCCACTCAGAAGCTTATATAAAGTGAGTATTATCACACCTACCTAAATAAATCATAATTTGAATAGAGACTAATTCACTGAACAGGACGTGAAATGATGATGGTCCGACTATAAGATTAGGACTTCTTTCACGTTTTTAATTTTTCGCCTTTTGTTTTTTGCTGTGCATGTCGATTTTTACTCTTTGTAAAAATAAGCTGTAGTAGCGCTTCTTCTCAGTTCTAGATTTTTTCCTGTGCAGTTTATCCAGTATAAAATTTGCTCTGTTCAAAGTTGAGCTTTAAATTTGCTCACCATTTAGACATAATTACTAAGTAGCCCTGGTTTGTGGCACATGTTAATAGCTATCGTGGACATACAGGTACATCGAGAACCTGGACAAGCCGTACCAGGGCAACTGGGAGCGGCAACTGCACGCCACCTCCGAGAACACGACAATCAACGACGCCCACCGCCTGCCTGTCACTTGGCTGCCTGCAGAGTACCAAACCGTCGCGCCGCCTCACGTCAAACTCGAGAACGGGAAGGATGCTTTGAGCGCCTTGTGGGCCTTGAGAGACATCATGGTTAAAGATGCGCTTTGTGGACGTCTGTAAATATTAATATGAACGGTTGATAAGGGCTATAAAACCGTTGGTCGGAATTGTGGGCCTTGAGAGACATCATGGTTAAAGATGCGCTTTGTGGACGTCTGTAGGTATTGATAAGAACGGTTGATTAGGGCTGTAAATTAAATGCCTTGTGCGCTGGTCGAAAATGAGATGTAAAATCTATGATGAGTAAATGTGTCTCTTCAGATGACAGACATCATGGTTAAAGTTGCGCTTTGTGGATGTCTGTAGGTATTATTAAGAACGGTTGATTAGGGCCCTGTGCGCTGAAAATGCCCTGTGCGCTGGTCGAAAATGAGATGGAAAATCTATGTATGATGAGTAAATGTCACTTCAGAACTATGCTGTGCAAGATACCGATCAAGTAGTTAATTTATTGAGAATAGAGCTAGTTGGGAGTGAAAATAATCAGACAGGCGCATTGATTTCCGTTAATAGATTAACGTGCAAATGGTTCTTGGGACGTTATCTTTTAGAACGGATGAAGTGAGGGATTACAAAATTTGATTGAAAGTTTATTTTAAAGCAAAACATAAATAGTTCTCTCTGAAAATTGTTCATCGAAAGGATAACTGAGATTTCCTTGAGATGCTTGCTCGTTTTCACTGTTTCTTGAATGGTAGTAGCAAGTCATTTAGAATATATGAAAAATTCTTCCAATGCGTACTCTAAATGTCATCGAAAGGTCGTTCAGAATAATATTAGGTTTAGAAGTAGTATTATAGCATTCGAGTAGACATAGGACGATGTGCATGAAAAATTTTCTAATAATCGGCTATAATAATATAAGCGTCTACCGAGCGTCATTAAATTGGTACCATATGATTTTTGTGACGTAAAGTCTCGTATTAAATGACCTGTATTCGATTCAGTGAGTTCAAGTTGGCCAGACAGCACGCTGCACTAACCAGATTTAAGCAATCACTACGCTACTATTCCACACTATGTTCCTTCATGGATGGAGAGTTATTAATGTGTAGAAATTTCAAAAGAATCGGGCATTATGGAGAGGTTGCCCTGAAGTTTTACCCCATGGCAGGCATCCGTGCCCCTCTGTATTCCAGAGTCCCCTTCCATCTTGTTTATTGCAGCCTTGGCAAGGACAGGATCAATGTATTCGAAAGCTTCGAGAACCCTCAACAGCTCCAGGTCGTTCTGGGGGCGACGGCAGCGAATGGTGCCTTCGTTCAGGCTCGCGCTTACACCAGTGCTGTGAAAATGGCCACTGATACGAGTCCTGGGATACTCTTAGGAGTCAACTTGAATTGTTCCCGCAACAACCACACCTTCATCGAATAGATGGCTTTTGCCATCCACCGAGCATAATGCATGGCTCCAGGAGCGCGGAGCTTCACTCCGCCTGGAGGAGAACGGGCAAGGAACACGAGCGACATCGCCATGAGCTCTTTGTAGTCGTCACGACCTTGAAGCTGACTGACTGCTGTTTCCATCCACTCGGTATGGACTCGTGCGATGAAGGCATCGCACACACTACACAAAGCACCCTGGAATGGAATCAGATCATTCAGGGTGGGGCTGGACAAAAAATCCCTGTTCAAGCGTTCAGACCGTTTCTTTGTTTACTCTACGGACGGAATTACCATGAGCCATAGGTGGTGAAATTTGGAGACGTTGAGCGGTCTCTAAATATCAACTAATTATGAAAGATATTTTAGGAATAGTATTCAAGCATCTAGACAAATCGGTTTTTAAGGTAGGAACTTATTTTAAAGAAAAAAATAACTGTTTATTTGAGGACCATTTTGTTCATTGAAAATTTCAATTATGGTAACATGAGACTGATAAATACAAAATTTCGAAGTTGATCAAATTAATTTTCCTTCAGGTAAAAATGATTTCGTACTGTTCATTTACTTTGTGCATGAAAATTGTACAAAACAGTAACAATATCTGCATGATTGATTGCGTAAATGATTTCCACTTTTTTCCTGAAGGGACCAAAAATGTTTGTGCTGATGATACCAACAAAATTTAATATCTAAAGATGAAACCTCTGAAACTATGAGTTTACTACATCCGCTCTACGTATCAAATTTAACGTAAGTGTAAAAGTAAAAAATGGAACAAATGGACTTCCTCTCCACAACTGCGCTTGCTTTGTGATCCGACGATCCAACTCTCTCGTGACTTAGAAACTTTTACGTCAAAACAGTCATCGTTACAGCGTATTGCCTTAAATTTAGGATAATGAAGAATGCAAAAAACTTTCAAGAATGCAAAACTTTTTTCAAGACATCGAAATAAACCTAAATCGAACTTAATGACGAGCTTAACAGGCAATAGATGATGGAAGGCACTAGACGCTCACAATGATGAATTATTTTCATCACACGTTGTATAGTAGAGAAATAATGAAATGGACGCAGAACAAAAGCTTTTCGCTGAAGAAACCAGAACGTCGAGTGAGAAATTTTGGAATCAGTGCTGCAGTACAAATTACTTACAAGCGAGCGCTCGGTACAAATATAAATGAATCGTGAAGCGTATGTGAGCTTGCACAAGCGCTAATGACAATCAACTAATTAAGTTTCCTCAATACAAACAAAATATAGTAAATATGAAATTTCACCATTAAATCGATTTCCAACAATCGAGAAACAAAGCGCTTGGCTTTACAAGCAGTGATTGCCCAATTCTTACTTCTTACCAATCCCTTCATGTCATATATCAGTTCTACAATAACTGAAGGTAGATACTTCTCGTTGAGTCTCTCTTGAACGAAACGAAATGTATCGAGTCTCTCTTTCTAAATCAAATTTGAAAAACAACTAAAAGGAAAGTCCGTGTTGTCGATCCGCAAACGAAGCATCGGGCAAAAACGTGAAAATCCCGTTGACCTCTCACGTTCCGCGAGGAATAGAAGACTAGAAACGCCTAAAATTTCCCGGATTTCCGTTATTTTCGCTGAACCGAAGAAGTTCACCCAAGCTGAGCGAATAGCCCGCTTGCCCTGACACGGAACCGCGACCGCTGGAGAACTGGGCGTTGGCCGCGGCAGGGCCGGCACGAATCCCGGGACTAAACAGAGGCGCGTTGCCGGGGAATCGGAACCCCTGGGATGAGGCGCTGTTGGGGTTCATTGGGGAGACGTGAGAAAGTAAAGCACTTCCTTGAGAGTAGCTGGGGACAGCGCCACGATAATTCGTCGCTTGGTAGCCAGGCATGTGGTTGATAAGAGGCTCATTACGAACTATCTGTGGTTGGTTCATCAATGGCGGAATATTACGGATGAATGCCTCGCCTTGATTCATCAGTGACAGATTGCGATTATTGATTGGAAATTCATTACGGCCGTCAGGTCTGACTTGACGGTTTTTCAGGCAAGTGTTCAAATCACGCATATTGTTGACTGCAGGAGGTCGTTGCTGAGCAGCCGAAGATGCGCTGTTCTCGTACGCAATCGTCGACTTGAGCCTGGGCTGGCTGGGTCCATCCAAGCAAGGGTCCGTTGGCTTACCCGCGTACGCAAACGAATGACTTGCCTGCTGATGGGAACCGTCTCTGCACCACACATTGACCGACTGATCGCGTACTAACGGATCTTGGCTTGAAAAACGGTGGCCCAACCGCTCGTTAACTGATGCACGGCGATCCAACCGATCACTGCTCACTGAGCGGCGGTAGCACCGCTCATTAATACGGCGGTCCACCCGCTCGTAAATCCGGCGGTCCAACCGTTCCCTGCTCACTGAACGGTGGTCCAACCGTTCACTGCTCACTGAACGGTGGTACAACCGTTCACTGCTCACTGAACGGTGGTCCAACCGTTCACTGCTCACTGAACGGCGGTCCAGACGATCTTTGAGACTAGGACGGATTTCAGAAGACGGAAGTGCTGATTGGAAGCGGTTCGCATTATCGCTTCTTGGCGCTGCGCTGGGAAGAGGTTCCAAGCGGTCCAGAAACCGGGAGTGAGTTCCGACGCCCGGAGCAGGGCAAGCCTTGCCGAGACGACGACGAGCAGCCTTGGGACCTGTGCAAATTTAATTTAATCATTAATTAATCTTTACATTAATTAATTAAATAATGAAATCTTTTAAATTTAAAATAATCTAAATATATATTTTTTTAAATTTAATCTTTTCACATCATGAAACTTTTTTCCGGTACTCTATTTGACGACCGATGTTCACTAAAGCTCAATATTGGAGAGATTCTGCAATGACATTTATGTTAGAGGGACAAATTCTTAAGCCATTCGGTTTTTTTAGTGTTAGATTGGATTGCCTTGCATTTAATTCTTGTGTGGTCAGACTCAGGAAGGGAGGCTCTGTAGTTGGACTGATAAATTGGAAGCAAAAAAATGAAAAAATGTTGCGAGCTGATGAGATTTAATAATAATTGAAAGCTCTACGTGTTAAACTTCAAAATGATGAAATATTCTTTATATGAGAGATAGTTAAAGAGCGTAAATACATGGACCCAATTCATTATCGGTGTTAATTAGAATTCAAATAAGAAATAATTCGTTTTCAAGTGCGAAAAGAAGAGAGCGATATCAGTTCTGATAGAAAAACTTGCGACTTTTTACGATTAACAATAAACACGATACGATAAAAAATAAATCATTTATTATAAAAACTGCCCATTAAGAGATTTCACAATTTCAATGAAATATTTATATACGAAGAAAAAACGGTAGAACTTACGACGAACTGGACTGGGATTTGAAGCTTCGCTGCTAGCTTGTGTCAGCATTTCCTGCACCATCGTCAGCCATTTGTCTGGCAGCTGACACTCGTCCTGGCAACATAAGTGAATACTAAGCATGCAGGCATTCTTTATAATTTACGAGCCTTCCATTGCTTTAATTGACCACTTAGATACTTTAGCATTTCCTGGTTAGTCTTCCTTTTCTTGCCTCGAGAAATATTTTGCACACGACAAACATTCAAACGAAATTTTAAAATAAAATTAATGTACAAGAGTACCTTAATTCACCTTGCAGTGACTAGCTACAACCGCTGATAACTAAGCCAGAGACAAGCACTGCCACAGGAGCCCACGACTAAACTCCGAGAAGCTTATTCGCTGCGTTTCAATGTTACAATAATATGCAGTTTGAGAATTTGTCATTCACGATGGTGCCGCCAAGATAGTAAAATTTTTGTAATTCTCACTTGAATAGTGATTTGAAATATGAGCAAGCATTTCAATTAAATAATGACTGCAGAGAGAGTTAACGTCAGAAATAAAACGTTTTCCCGTGCCGGGAATCGAACCCGGGCCTCGCGGGTGAGAGCCGCGTATCCTAGCCACTAGACCACACGGGAGATAAGTTTCAGTCAAATTTGCTCCGTTCATATTTTCGCGACACGAGTGGACAGCCTACATGAGTATCTACATAAACAAAGTTATCAGTCACCAGAGATTGGTCCAGTGTTGTTTCCAGAGATTGGTCAACAGAGTTGTTATCAGAGATTGGTTGGTAACAGTGTTATCAGATCTTGGTCAACAGTGTTATCAGAGATTGTTCAACAATGTTATCAGAGATTGGTCAAGTGTTATCAGAGATTGGTCAACAGTGTTGTTATCAGAGATTGGTAACAGTGTTATCAGATCTTGGCCAACAGTGTTATCAGAGATTGGTCAACAATGTTATCAGAGCTTGGTCAACAGTGTTGTTATCAGAGATTGGTAACAGTGTTATCAGAGATTGGTCAACAGTGTTATCAGAGATTGGTCAACAGTGTTATCAGAGATTGGTCAACAGTGTTATCAGAGATTGGTCAACAGTTTTATCAGAGATTGGGCAACAGTGTTGTTATCAGAGAGCGTTCAACAGTGATGTCATCAGAGATTGGTCAACATTGTTATCAGTTTCCTTAGAAGTGATACATTATAGGTGATAAATTAGTACGATATTATCTTGGTATTTTTCTAATGCAGAACTCAAGTTGAGAGGAACTGTTGGAATGCGAGCGAACTGTACCTTTGTTTTGCTCTAGAGTGTTAAGTTACCGAATATTCACTATAGACTTTTAACTAAATACAACTCCCGTGTGGTCTAGTGGCTAGGATACGCGGCTCTCACCCGCGAGGCCCGGGTTCGATTCCCGGCACGGGAATAGGTTTTACATTTAGGGTCTATATTACCTCGATGGGGTCGCCGATTAAATTTAAGTTGTATCTCTTAATAAGTCTGCTTTCATTAATTAGTCTGAAAATCTATTCGCGACACATGAGATATAAGGAAAGCCACATCTCTTAGGTGTAGACCTCTCCTTGAAGTCACGAAAGCCGATTAATTTGCTGATAACTATCTTGTTGAAAGACCATTCTGAATATAATTTCCATCACATTTCAATCGCTGGCATTATATTGCTCTTGGTTGCTATTCACTAAAACTTCAATTCACGCGGATAAAACGTCGATGTTATTTCAGAAAAAATTGAGAGAAGCTCGTTTGGAGTACCATAACCAGCTTAACAGACATTCATGAACGTAAACTGCTTAATAAAGCTCTTAAACGAAGCCTAAATATCTAGCCCAGAGGCTCGAGGTCATTAGCGAAGCAGTGGAGCGAAACGAGTTCGAGCAGAACCTCACAGTAACGCTCGCGGGACACGACTGACTCCCTGACTCACCGCCACTCACAACTGACGTCGTATGTCACCGCTACCGCAGTAAGGTCGGACCCTAAAGTTACCGAGGCGGTCACGCTAGACGCGACTGTACGAATGCACTTACGGTACACACTATAACTAAAGATGTAACATGTAACTGCTGTTTGTAACACTATTCTGATTAAAGGCGAATAATGTCTATCGTTGACATTATGATTATGCGTCATTGAACCAGCCTGGGGTATCATTTATGAGGACATAGAAAGTTGAGCAAATTCAACTAGGCGTTTTATGATAGATAAAACGACAGAATCACTTGAGCTTAGTAAATTCATCAGTCACTCTGTTTATAAAATATTTCTTCCCGTGCCGGGAATCGAACCCGGGCCTCGCGGGTGAGAGCCGCGTATCCTAGCCACTAGACCACACGGGAGATAAGTTTCAGCCAAATTTGCTCCGTTTATATTTTCGCGACACGAGTGGACAGCCTACATGAGTATCTACATAAACAAAGTTATCAGTCACCAGAGATTGGTCAACAGAGTTGTTATCAGAGATTGGTCAACAGTTTTATCAGAATTGGTCAACTGTGTTATCAGCGGTTGGTCAACAGTGTTATCAGAGACTGGTTAACAGTGTTATCAGAGATTGGTCAACAGTGTTATCAGAAATTGGTCAATAGTGTTATCACAAATTGGTTAACACTTATCAGAAATTGCTCAACAGTTATCAGAGATTGGTTAACACTTATCAGAGATTGCTCAACATTGTTATCAGATTGGTTAACACTTATCAGAGATTGCTCAACATTGTTATCAGATTGGTTAACATTTATCAGAAATTGCTCAACAATGTTATAAGAGATTGGTCAACAGTGTTATCAGAGATTGGTCAACAGTGTTATCAGAGATTGGTCAACAGTGTTATCAGAGATTGGTTAACACTTATCAGAGATTGCTCAACAGTCATCAGACTGGTTAACACTTAGCAAAAATTGCTCAACGGTGTTATCAGAGATTGGTCAACAGTGTTATCAGCGATTGGTCAGCAGTGTCATCAGAGATTCATTAGCAGTGGTACAATATTATCGGTGAAAAATTACCACGATATTTTCTCGGTATTTTTCTCATCCCCAAGTCAAATTAAGGAGAACTGTTGAAATGCAAGCGAATAAAATGTCGTCAGATCTCATTCTCATTTCAATCATTCCTTTTATCAAGCATATATTTTTTTATCAATCCTGGTTTATGTAGCTAACTTTATTACGTCTCTAATACCTTTTGCAATAGGTACCATAAATAGTTGGAAATTATTTAAACGGTGAAAAACAATATATATTAATTGACAGCATGTTATTTTTAACGAAAGTAGCTCTGTTGCACTTTTCAGTGCCTTTGTTGTAAGCTCGTGAACAATCCTGACGAGGATCATAAATCTCTACGTTTTGGCCTAAGATGGTCGTTAGCAAACCCCCTGGCGGAATTTACTTAAAACATCTCAAGAAAATAGATCTTCATATCAGGATTTCTATATAGGCGGAATATTAGTGTGAGATTTGATTTCGTTGTAGTTTTAGAGTTTGTAGTGTCTGATTTATATTTGATATATGGTAGCCCAATATTTATTTATGAGTTCTATATTTTCGAGTGCAGCGCGTTTTCGTAGCTAGTTTACCGCCCGTAGCTCTTATTTCCAGTCGAAATCGATTTTCACAAGGCAAAATTTTAATGTTGCAAGTGACATTAATAAACTCGATGGTCAACTTTTGGGAGGCTTAAAGATTTGAGTAAATAATTAGTTTATATCAGTTTTGTATCACTGACAAGTGACTAATTATTATATTAAGGGGATCGGCTACCCCTACGGAAAACTTCTACAGTTATTATCCAATTGTCATGAAACTTCACTTACATACGTAAAATGTAAAAAGAAAAACATTTTGCTCCTATGAATTTTTCGAAAAAAATGATAGAAAACGTGAAATTCATAGAAAACGGCTAAAAAGGGGTACTTTAGAAAATCTATCTCCTCCCACAAATATCATCCTACAACATCGAGATACGTATCAATCGATTCGTAAAGACCATATCTATTGACTCTAACATCACTTTTTTCATTTTCCATCTTTTTTTATTGCGTTTTTTCCATTTTTCCCATTTTTTTCTCATTTTTCACCCCTCCCCCCCCCTTCTCCCCCATATAAAAAACGAACCAGACCGAAATTCAAAAAAGTGATGTTAGAGTCGATAGGCCTGGTTTTTACGAATCGAATGGTATATGTCTCATTGCTGTAGCTTGAAAACTGTAGGAGGAGATAGATTTGCCGTAAGAGCAGTATGAGGTTTTCAGTACGGCCAAAAGACTGCCCGCGCGGCACTTAAATAGACATAAAAGAGTCGCAACGCAGCCAAGATACCGTAAGCCTTAAACCAAGTCAGGAACGTATGGAGCAACTGGCTGCACACCTTTCACGTCGCTGTCATGATGGGCACTGAGAGGTTTGGCTTCAGCTCGCAGTTTTAGTAGTCACGCACCGTAATTAAGGTGTACCACCAATCGATGCGTAAGAAAGTGCTCTTTCAAACAAGACTATGCCCACTTTAGTGCCATGATTGGCTGCTTAATGCCAGGCCTTCCTTTGTGGAGTGATCAGCGCGTCATTTATCCTCGTAGAGTTTTGTTAAGGGACCTAAAACCCGCCTCCCTTTGAGGAGCTGTCACAAAGTCATTTTTCGACGTACAGGGACGATACTTATACCGTTCGATGCGCAAGAAAACAACCTTTAAGATGAGATAAGAAACAGATAAGAAAATTTTCAAATTTTAGGGTAGCCGATCCCCTTAAGATCTTTTGGAGTCAGATCAAAGCAGAAGAGTATAACTCGTTGTGAACACCGGAATTGTGAACTAAGGTCGGGTAGATCCTGCACAGCAATTCAAGATTCAACAATTAGCGATTCCAATACCTCGTATAATCCACTTATATCATAAAGTTGCCATTATTATTTGTTACTTATATGTCTACTTTAATTCGAAAATATCCCTGCGACGGGCAGAAGTTCAATTACTGTAGATTTTCATTTTACGGAATATTCCACTGTAGACTTGTTAATTTAGTCAATTCCCGTGTGGTCTAGTGGCTAGGATACGCGGCTCTCACCCGCGAGGCCCGGGTTCGATTCCCGGCACGGGAAGAAATATTTTATAGACAGACTGATGAATTTGCTACGCTCAAGTGATTCTATCATTTTATCTCACATAACACCGATAGTTGTGTTAGCTCGAGTTTCTCTATGTCCTCATTCGGTCCCAGAAGGATTCCTAGAATTTTAAACAAGAACCAACACCAGAGGCCATGGACAATAAACCAAAGAAAACTGTGTTGCAATTCATCCACGAGACAACATTTCTTTTCGCTTCGAGTCACCGGCATGTGGAATAGCCTCCCTGATGGCATCATTGACGCTTCGAGTATGAACGCCTTCCAGAACAGACTAGACGAAGCTATGCAGGAGCATATGTTCAGTCTTGAAATGCCTAGTCTTACGGGCCTTGCAATAAGTCCAGCAGCTATCTCAATCAATCGTCAGTTATGGAAAGATTGGGTTCCAAAGGCCGGATCCCTTGTGAATCAAGTCACGAAAAATTCAAGAATCGGCAACAGGCCATGGGCCTATTTATTCAGTGCCGACACTTCTATTCTATAATTGAACCTAAATGTAAAAATTTTCCCGTGCCGGGAATCGAACCCGGGCCTCGCGGGTGAGAGCCGCGTATCCTAGCCACTAGACCACACGGGATATGCTATTTTCATAACCACATGGGGTAGAGAAGTTTCAACTAGTTTTTTTGCAAATTTGCAAATCAATGTCAATTTCCACGACAAAGAATCGGTGCTGGGCAAGTTCGAGATCCTCTCGAACTTTTTCTATCAAGCAATTCGGGCATGTAATGGATTGATACCGAGTCGATTCCGTTCTTTACGATAGTTTCGCGTGCCAGAAAGCGCCATAAGTCGCTACTAGTCCGATATTCATGAGAATATAATAGCAGGTTGCAATTAAACTTTCGGTGTTTTAGTTCTTTCAGTGACAACTGGGTTCGAGCTATCATGCCGGCCTATACCGCTTTATTATAGCACGAACTATACCGTAATCTCTAACAAACGCCGACTTTTCCGAATGGTCGACTTTTTTAATTACCGCCAACAAGCTATGAAGTCCTATTAGGTATCGCATCACAATTTTTGTTCATCTTATTGTCATGACTTATATTGATTAAGAACTTTCATATTACTGATGATGATGCAGCTTTTAATATTGTGGAAGAATTTATGCACCGACCGAAATTTTCATACTGCTTGGCAGTTTTCAAGTTAAGATGATCATTTATTTTAATCAGTTAAGTTTTGTTTTACTGGGATGAATCGATTCAATTGAATGTCATTAGCATTACTGCTACGTGATCTTCATCTGTCTTAGTGAATACGTATTTTCAAAAGCCTTCCCGTGCCGGGAATCGAACCCGGGCCTCGCGGGTGAGAGCCGCGTATCCTAGCCACTAGACCACACGGGAGTTACAACACAACAAACTGATTCCAAAGTTAGTCAACGGTAAAAAATTTTGTCTGAAAAGTTTGTGTTAGTGGATCAGTTGAAGCTAAATGCAACCTTTTTATTAATTCTTTGTGTGAAATTAATATGCAGTAAATGGCTGCTAAAATATTATAATAAAAAAAGAGAGAAATTGTGCTGAAACAATTGCTAGACGCTTGTATGTTGCTCCGGCATTTATCAGGACGAATAAGAAAAAAATTTTGCTCGAAAATCAATTAATTTTTAACCCAGGGCACCTCATTTGTTCGCACGTGGCTACATGAGTAATAAATCTTGTCAACTCTTACGGATAAAGAAGTATTAACAAATTATTTTTGAAATACTTCTCGTTTACTACTAGAAATTTCTCAATTTCTTGTGTTGAAAATTGTTTAGTTCATATTCTTCATACCTGTCGATTGGTATGAATGTGTAAACAAGTTTATTATCATTGGGACTTAAGGTGAACGTACCAAGCTATCTTGGACGAGCTACGGCAGTCTGTATCTGCAGACTTCCCTTCACTAATTTCTCTAATTTTTGTTTGAGTGATGTCTAGTGGTTTTCTTTATTTTTACAAATTATTGTATATTCGCTCTTACTTTTTCGAGGCAGACTCCGAATCGATATTGGGCATTGCCTTCTACTGTGGTAAGACCACTTACTTTTGCCATTGATTTCTGTTTTGCAGAGATTAATTGAATACATATACCTTTCTTCCCTTCTTCAAGTATTAATTTGTTGATTTGCACCCGAGTCAGCCATACCTTTTGCTGTAGTTATGTCTCTATATATAAGGCCTCTTACTGCCTTTTAAGGGGAGCATCTGGCCAAAATTTTTGAATTTGGGCTTTTCTGCTTTTTAGTCTCATCTTAAAGCTGACATTCTGCTCTATCCAACGGTACGAAAATCATCTCTTTACGTTGATTTAGGCGTTCAGGACAGATCATGAAAGGGGGGAGGGTGGGGGAGTTCTTTTCCAAATTAGATAGGAGGTAATTCGGTTCCCAGCACATTAAATAGTGTCTGCTTGAGGTGCAGCTTAGTTACCCGTTTAGTCTTATCTTAAAGCTGACATTCTGCCCTATCCAACGGTACCATTACCATCTCTGTACGTTGATTTATGCGTTCAGGACAGATCATGAAATGGGGAGGGTGGGGGAGTTCTTTAACTAATTAGATAGGAGTTAATTCGGTTCATAGCACTTTAAACACAGTGCCTGTTTGAGGAACAGCTCAGTAATCCGCCTGGCTTCGCACGAGGAGGTGTGCATGCAGTCGCTCCCACCATCCTTGAGTGGACTCGAGCTCCAGTAACGTTTAGTTTCGTATTCTTGCTACATTGAGTGCCTATTGCAATGTGCGCGGGACTTTGTCGGGCTGTGCTAAACATTCACCCATATTGTCACGGCAAACCTATCTCCTCCTACAGTTTTGAAGCTACAGCAATGAGATATATACCATTCGATTTGGAAAGGAAAGATCTACAAACGTCACTTGTTTTTTCCAATTTCATTATAGTTCGGATTTTATTTTGCAAAAAGTGGGGGAGTGCGAGGGTAAAATAAAAAAATTTCGAAAAATATCGGAAAAAATGCTCCCACACCCACAAAAATGAGAAATTCAAAAAACCGTTACGTGACTTTTTTAGATATGGTCTTGACGCATCGAATGATATGTGTCTCGATGTTGTACCTTGAAAATCATAGGAGGAGATAGATTTCTACGGTACCCCCTTTTTCGGCCGTTTTCTAAGAATTTCACGTTTTATTTATTGTTTTCTTCGAAAAATTCACATGAACAAAAAAGTCTTAGATTTCTATTTTACATATGTATACCTTGTTTCAGAGTGATCCGTCTGTAAATAGCCGAGATAAATTTTACCCCAGACGCTCCCCGTAAAATTACAGCTGGTCGCACAAATATTTTAAGGTTGATTTTACATTTTGAAATAAAATTTTTACATTGAAATACCACTATTTGCTCTTTTAATTCATAACGACATTACTTACATATACTTATTTCAACCTGTTGCATTTTAATTTCTTTAGAATAACTGTTACTGTGGTAGAAGCTCAAGGAAGCTTAATTAGCTGATTTCTCGGTGTCGCTGGTGGACGGCGTTTGTTGGCAGTCAAAGGTGGTGCTTTCAGCATGACCTTGTGTGTGTGTTCCTATATAAACGAATTCTGGGTATGTGTTACCTGGGGATCTTAAGGATGTTGGGGGGGGGGACCGTTAAAGAAGTTTCTGGCTCGCGGACGGGACTACTCAACTATTTATTTGCGCTTATATGTTTGAGGTATGTTGTTGTTTGATTAATTACTCGCCTATATTTGATTGTATCCATATTATCGAAGCTTAAAATCTTTGTTAAACACACAATTCATACTTTTCCATAACAAGAGCTTTAGAGTTTTGTTTGTTTCTTTCAAGATTATGTTGGGCAGGGTATTCGTCTGATAAGACGAAGCTATACTGTTCTAAAGACCATGTCTTTATTCCTCCCGATTTTTGTAAACGGAAGCGAGTGTATACTCGTTCCCGTATACGGGAAAGTATACTCCGTATACTTTTGTACTGGGAAACGCGTGCTCGAACTCGTTTAGCGAGACTACTTGGTCAGAGACGGAGTACGTAATTTGAAGTTGTTCGCTATAGTTTAAAGCCTAATATTAAATTATAACATTGGTTTCGGGTTTAAATTACGCAATGAAATGGTGATGATAAAATCAGTCATATAATAAGGAAAAATATATTGCCTGCAATAAGCCAAAATATTATTCACACTACCAAAATAATGTTCACTATATAGGTTCCCGCTTTAACCTATGCTACTTTTGGCAATAACACCTCCCGTGTGGCTATAAGGTTGACTAATTCCAATACCAAACTTTCCACATTTTAATTAACTCCTATACGAACTCCTAATCCTACCAACGAAAAAAAGACCAACTCCTACCAACAAAAAATTAGATCAGGCACACGGCAGTGAGTGACAGAGAGCGCATTTTCTCGTCCGTCCGTAACGTTAAGTCACGGACGGACATGACGTGAAGTCACGGACGGACATGACGTGAAGTCACGGACGGACATGACGTGAAGTCACGGACGGACATGAAGAGCACAATAGTGCATTTTTTTCCATAGATGAGAAAATGCGCTAAAAAGGGCACTAAGTTCCATGCAAAGTTTAATGCGGTTGAATCCTGACCTGCGAGAGCGTAGAGGCAGCACCAGCGATGGCATCGTTCAGACTTTGGGTGGACACGCGGCCTGGCAGCGGCGCTCTGTACGACAAAGCTGGGGAGAAAAAACGGGTTTACAGTAATTTCTTAACATAAATACTTGTCCATATTCCAGTTAATAATCAGTGAAGATAAAGAAATGGTTGTAGCACATGTACTTATTACATTTATAGCAAGGGATATAATTCATTCAAGCTAGGGATATAATTAATTCAGGGCATGACTTGGAGGAAAAATGAAAAAAACGTGTATACAATTAAGCTACTCGAACCAGCATAAGTGAGAAATAACTACTAAAAAGAAAAATAATTATTAATAATAATTGCAGAGTTCAAGTAACTTCCTTGACGAGTTTGCAGGCTATATAGAAGCGGCCACTCAAGAATCATGAAAAATGCTGAGCTGTTTTTATTTTCCAACATGAAGATGGGAAGCCATTCGCGATCCTCATTCGTGGTTATAAAAAGTCGGAAATAATCTCATGGTCTTGGCATTGGAAACAAGTAGCGATTATGAAATATTTTGCCCGACTTAGATGTTCAGCAGCCATACTGTAAAAACTCGCTCTAGTACACGTACGTATAGAGGCCGATGCCTCGTCTAGGATAACTGAACTATAGGTAGATTGATATAAGTGGTCGGTGATTGGCTGACGTGGCTGAAAAAAACTCGTAATTATTTGGAGTTACAAATACACTTCGATCGTTACTCGTTAGGAAAGTTTCAGCGCCCATTCCATCACTGAAGGCCATAACCCATTTCCGCACCATTCCATCACTCAATATTTTCACCAGACGCTTCACTGATTTGGTGACAAATTCAACTGATTTGAAGACCAAAGCACAGAGAAACGCACACAATTCGCAGTCAGCGGGATTATCAATATTTGGAAGCATTTTAAAATCACATTAACAGATGTAGACTAGATCGGGTGGTTCCGTTAATGGCATCGGTGACATCCCAAAAATTGTAGGCGGCTGCAGCGCTGCAGCAGCATAATTTAAAACCGACACTGCCTAAAAACACGCCTCATAGGAAGGGAAATAATAAAAAAAAATCTTATCACTTTTCGCGCCGCCATTACCATGCCTCCAGGCCTCACATTGGCAAAAAGTTCGGTTAATTAAATCAGTTTGTTGGAGCGTCGTCCTAATAACGCGGATGCCACGGGTTCGATCTCCACCCAAACTGGCCAACGTTTTAATTTTTTTACACCATGTTCGGAGGCTATTTTCACCAAGTAAATAACTATAAATTCTCAATTCTTATAGCGTGCGTTATGAGTTTGACAATTAACTTTTCGCAAGTTTTGCTTATCCACGTAGGTAAGGGATAAATCAGGATTCAGCATATGGGAAGAGAATAACGTTCCGAAACACATGTTCCTAAAATGTTTGGCCAGTATGGGGATCGAACCCACGACATCCGCGTTATTAGCACGGCGCTCTAACCAACTGAGCTAACCGGCCACATTCTCCACGCGTAATATATTCCTTAGAATTTTCTCCCGACTGCCAAATGTAAATTCCCCATATTCTTCAACTGAAAAGCCACTGTATATAATCAAAGACGCGTTTGGTAAGTTAAACCTAAGCCGAGAACCATTCGCTTTTACAAAAGAAGAATCCACTTCTGCCGATTGATGACACATGACGAGGTTTTTTCTCTGTTGAAGTGTGATCAACTTTTCGGCCAACGAGCTGTTCGTGAGCAGTAACACATTTGCCACTATCAAGCATATATAGCGCCATGCAGCTGACGTCCAACATCCAAAGTATTCAAGCCCAGCAACGCTATAGCTCGCATCATCACCAAATATCGATATCGCAAAATGTGTGGATCAAGTTTTTGGACCAGGGATTCCATGATGCTTTATCTACAAATAAATAAGGAAAATAATTTAAAATGATAGCCGCGGAGTTAATACGCAAAGCCTCTTGAATAGCTATCTTTCTAACATAATAACAAAATTCTAACATACCGGGGCAGCGAGCAACTCACAAATGAGATGATCAAGTTCAAGTGATTATATATTCGGCAAATTTCATTTTTTCAAGTGATTAAAAAAAACAATATAGGATGCCAAACTAGTAGACGGCATTCAGTTTTGCAGAAAAAAGATTGATAAACGAGCACTGAGAGCAGTGGCTCATGAAAATAAATAAATAAAATCACGATAATTATAAAATTGTTTTTAAGGACTGAATTTCAGGTGTGTTTGCAGTAAGGCTATTTAGGACGAAGGATCGGAATCTTGTAAACTTTCACACGAGACCATTTCTATCGGTCTTCCTGAGTAATTGCAAGCTCCTTAAAAATCAATTGATGTATCGACACAATGTATATTAGATCGCTGCCTTATCCGTCTCCTCCGGTATCCATCTTCCGCTATGATTGTAGAACGTCGTAGTCCGTGTTGATCATTCGCCATATTGATCGTAAACTGTCCTATACGGAGAACCGTATCGATCATTCGCTGCATTGACCGTAAATTGCCATCTACGGAGATCCGTATCGATCATTCGCTGCATTGATCTTAAATTGCCATCTACGGAGAACCGTATCGATCATTCGCTGCATTGATCGTAAATTGCCATCTACGGAGAATCGTATCGATCATTCACTACATCGATCGTAAACTGTCTTCTACGGGGATCCGTATCGATCATTCGATCGTTAATTGCCATCCATGGAAAATTGTGATCGGTGACCGCCATCCGCCACGATCGCACCTCAGGGCAGTTCAGGCACCCTATCGTTATTTCAAGGCGCCCTCAACCTATGTTGAGCCTTGATTCACAGTGGCATATATTATTAAAAATAATATTTTCCTTGACCAAATACTGAGGACATAAGGAGTTGGAATTCGTAAGTCGGTTAAGTGATGTCTGTCACTTTATCATAATGACGTCGAAACAGTATTGGTAACGCAAGTGTATCGCATCATCAGTTCGAGATTGTACAAATATTAAAGTATAAACTCGTGCAGTAGCTTAACACAGCAGTTTGAGAGCGTTATAAGATTAGGATTGAAATTAGGATAAATTATTTACAATTTTATCATCATCTTCCAGAAAATACTGGAAAAGTTTTTGGCCAGTATGGGGATCGAACCCACGACATCCGCGTTATTAGCACGGCGCTCTAACCAACTGAGCTAACCGGCCGCTGGAAACACCACTGGTTAGTTCGCTACTTCAATCCACACTCAACAAATGTGCATTGGAAAAGCAGTAGAGAGCAGCAATGACAAACTAGGACAAATCAGCAGAAGCAATAATAAAGAACGAATACTAGTGAATTGCAAAATTTTCCATATTTTAATACACTTGGGTGCAAGATACATGAAAACGATTGACTCCAAATTGTATGCGTCTCAAGTTTGACGTTTGTAACCGCAAAATTCAGTTGAAAAACGACAGTTGGGCTACTGATGCAGGGACAAAAATATCGTGTCTTACCAACGCTTACGTTCATTTAAATTCGGCAAGTGAAAATTCTATTGAAAAAGTATAGAAATTTAAGGTGAAAAATTGTGCAATTTTTTATTATTGTGTTTTATCTTCAAGGTACATGACACTTGACCGGGCTAGGATGTTCTCTACCATGCAGTTGATCAGTATCTACCTGATTTTATTTGTTAATTATTTTATATGACAAAGATGGAATATAATAGAATGCTTCCGCAAAAATGACAGCGAGTATACTCGTATAATGACAGCGAGTATACTCGTATAATGACAGCGAGTATACTCGTATAATGACAGCGAGTATACTCGTATAAAGACGAGAAAGGGCTCTTTAGACAATAACTTATAACGTATGTCAATTTCTGAAATTAATTTAAAAATGAATAGCTAACAATTCGTGATATCAGATTCCAAGAGCCCAAATCTCACAATTTCCGCTCGTGCGCGCCTTGCATGCAGAGTACATTTAAGTAACGAGTAAACATATCAAGTAACCTTGACTTTCAGAAAGAGTAAATCACTATTACAGTAAATTTGAAATAACATTGATTGAAAAACATCTACTGGCCAGTATGGGGATCGAACCCACGACATCCGCGTTATTAGCACGGCGCTCTAACCAACTGAGCTAACCGGCCATAGTTCACTAACGCAGCCCAGTTGGTGATATTTGTTATGAAAACGCTTTCTTGGCCCTTTAGAAACCAGCAACATTGCGAGTGCGAAATGCTACATTGTAACCATACCACATTGCTTAAGTTTATTCATTGATAAAAAAAAAACAGGGCACAAAAACCTGCGCCTGGGCATAGCGCAGTCTAAAATCAGAGTCAATATATTTGTTTAATTGCACGAATGACTTTCAAGTACAAATAAAGAAGCAGCAGAGTGAGGCAGTAGCAGCAGCAGAGTGAGGCAGCAGCAGCAGCAGAGTGAGGCAGCAGCAGCAGCAGAGTGAGGCAGTAGCAGCAGCAGAGTGAGGCAGCAGCAGCAGCAGAGTGAGGCAGCAGCAGCAGCAGCAGCAGCAGAGTGAGGCAGTAGCAGCAGCAGAGTGAGGCAGCAGCAGCAGCAGAGTGAGGCAGCAGCAGCAGCAGCAGCAGCAGAGTGAGGCAGTAGCAGCAGCAGAGTGAGGCAGCAGCAGCAGCAGAGTGAGGCAGCAGCAGCAGCAGCAGCAGCAGAGTGAGGCAGTAGCAGCAGCAGAGTGAGGCAGCAGCAGCAGCAGAGTGAGGCAGCAGCAGCAGCAGCAGCAGCAGAGTGAGGCAGTAGCAGCAGCAGAGTGAGGCAGCAGCAGCAGCAGAGTGAGGCAGCAGCAGCAGCAGCAGCAGCAGAGTGAGGCAGTAGCAGCAGCAGAGTGAGGCAGCAGCAGCAGCAGAGTGAGGCAGCAGCAGCAGCAGCAGCAGCAGAGTGAGGCAGTAGCAGCAGCAGAGTGAGGCAG